CCCCCCCACCCCCCACCCCCCACCCACACACACACACATACACCTCTTTAAGATATCCACGTGCTAATCTCCAGAACCTGTGACTGTTTTACCTTATATGGCAAAAGGGATTTAGCCTATATGATTGAATTAAGAATCTTGAGATGGGCAGATTATCCTGGATTATCTGGTGGGCCCAATGTAAGTACAAGGGTCCTTAAAAGAGGGAGGCAAAAAGGTGAGAGTCAGAGATGTGACAGTAGAAGCAGGGTTGAAGTAATGCCACTGCTGGGATGGAGGCAGGAGCCAAGGAATGCAGCCGGCCTCTCGGACTGGTGGGAGAGGGAACAGATTCTTCCCTAGAGCCTCCAGAAGGAATGGAACCCTGTCAACACTTTGATTTTGGCCCACGAGACCCACTTTCAGACTTCTGACCTCCAGAACTGCAAGAGAATAAATGTGTGTTGTTTAGGGCACTAGCTTCATGGTAATTTATTATAACATCAATAGGAGACTTATTGGGACTTTAGAGTCACACACACAGAATCACTATCACCCGTCTTGAGCCACCCCCAATAAACCTCTAATTCAAGAAGAGACAGTGGGTCTGCCATGTAACCTCAGTTCAAGCCTCCTAGCCGTGCTGTTCAAACTTTTAAGTTACATTCTAAAACCTGCCCGATGGAGAAATTCTGGAGTTACTTCTGAAAATTATGCATGTATATCAATCATTTAGCACAATGTCTGCTACATAGTAAGGAGATGTTAAAATCATTAGTACTATACTGGTATTCACTAGTCTACCAAGAGAGACTGTGGTTTTCCCTCTCCATTCACCAACAAATCCATAGACATGGCAAAGAGCATACCTGCTCTCCTACAATGATTCAAATTTACAGTGTGTCAAAAAATTCACTGAATTTGAATAATGTATTTTAACCTTTAATATGCGCCTAAATCTAGTCATTCATACATTTTTAATTTACTCTCAAAAAATTTAAAACTGAAATTTGATGTACTTTTGCAAATGTGGTTACTTGGTTTTCTCACTTCTCTTAAACATTGTTTTTAATTTTTTTATATTTCTGATTATCCCAGTAAACAGTTCATAGTGCCAAACTTTAAATGCATTTCATTTTTACTATGCATAAACATTTTCTATGTATAAAAATATTTCTATATATAAAATGAACAGAGTTGAAATCATATCATATACAAAATTTTGTGTCTTGTTATCTTCCATGCATGTCATTAAGCACTTTTAAACAACATTCCCAATGACCATCAAATGGGTATTCCATAAATTCTTAATCACTTTCTAGTACTGGATATGTAAGTTGACTAGAATTCCTCCTTGTTTATTTTAAACCAGTGTGTAGAGGGTAAGCGTGCAGGTGTTGGTAACAACCAAGAAGCAGGAAGAAGGAAGAAAACATACCCAGTGTGTGTGGCTATTTCCTGGGGATGGGGATGGGGCTGGAACATGCAGACAGCTATGGCTGGACCAGTGAAAGCCAATATAAGTAAATGTCTCCTGGAGTGTTCCAGGGCATGCATCTGCATATCAGGGTTTTTTAAAGAGTGGGGTAATGATGAAGAGTATAATACCTAACATCGATGTAACACTTTTCTTCCTACTCATTGTTATTTTCAAAAGGATTTAGGGTGAATTCAACAACAAATAACCCAATTTAAAAATGAGCAAAAAACTTGAATAGACATTTCTCCACAGAAGATATACAAATGGTTAATAAACCCATGAAAAAATGCTTGCATTTTAATCATAGCTTTCCTTTCCCAAGGGCAGTGGAAGCCAAGGACTTGTCTGGTTTGAGAGAGGGTGAAGGAGGGTGACATATTAAAGAAAGGGACACCCTATACCTCATACACATACATTTCATAGTTCAATCCTCCACTATCTCCATTCCAAAGCCCTAATTATGGGAATTCTCCAAGCCTCTGTCCTCTATCCTCTGTTTCCAACCTCTCATGTGTGGTTTAATTAATAAATTCATTAAATAGATAATAAGAGGCTATGCTAGGCTTTGAGGTGATAATAATGTTTACATAGTCTCCCCCCCTCCAGGAGTTTAGGGTTTAGCGGGGAAAAGCAACATGCTAATTTATATCCACCCTATATCTAATCCTCCTCCTGTGTTCTCTTTGCTGGTGATTGGAACTAACAACTACCCACGTCCAATTCCAGAACCCAGCGAGCCTTCCTCCCTCTGCTTTCACCAACCCCCTAACTCCCTGAACCAACAGTCAGTCACCAAGCCCGCTGATGTTGCCTCTGAAATATTTCTCAAATGTATTCCTACTCTCCATCTCTTTGCCATGAGCCTACCTCAGGACACCTTCATCCCTCCTCTGGACCATGACCTCCCAGCTGACCTTCCGGCCACCATCATAGTATCTGTCTCCAATGCCAGTCTGGCCCTGTCAATTCCCTCAACGGTCATGATCTACAGGAAAATGTCTACAGTTCTTAACTTCAGCTCTAGCTCCTCCTACCACCATCCATTCATTCCTTCCACTTCCCTCTGCTGTGGTTCCCCTACAGGCTGTCATGCTGTCTCCTGCGTGCTCTTGTCACTGTTTAGAAACCACCCCCTCCACATAAACACACACACATCAACTGGTATCTTGTCTCTGTGTTGCTATGGCAACCTGTGCCCTTCTCTCATGGTGTGTGACTACCTATCTCTGGTCTGAGAATTCCATGAAGGCAAGGACTAAGCCTGTTCTTCTCTGTGTCCTCAGTGCCTGGCACATAGTAAGAGCACAACACATGCCAGGCACTGTTCTAAGCACTTTTCACACATCAGTTCATTTAATCCGCATGACATTCTATGAGAAAGGTGTTCTTATGGTGTCCATTTCACAGTTGCGGACAGTGAGAGATGAATCAATTGGCCCAATACACAACAAGTAGCAGCAGAATTGGGATCTGAACTCAGGCAATCTGGCTCTTAATCACTGTTCTCATCTGCCCCTCAGCTTACATGTATTTGTTGAGTGAATGAAAGATGACCCCTTTCCACCTCCCCATCTCAGTATAAATAGATACTCCCCATAATCAGATAAAGAGTTCGCTCCTCATAGCCTCTTTTCTCCACATCTGATCTTCATTGCTCCTTCAGTCTCAGAGACTTTAGTCTGTAACTTCCAACTCTCTCCTCCCTAACCCCATTCAATCTCTCATCACACCCAGGAGTTTTGTTTTGTTTTTTCTTGGGAGCATTTATTAGATTCATCTCAGTCTGGTCTTTATCTCTTCAGGCCAGATGACCACAGCAGCTTCCCGACTGGTTCTCCGACTTCACTACCTCACTCCATTGGGACCCTGGGGTTTACACGCATTTTTGTTGTTGTTGTTAATCCTCACCTGAGGATATTTTTCTATTGATTTTTAGATAGAGTGGAGGGGAGGGAGGGAGAAAGAGAGAGAGAAACATGGATGTGAGAGAGACACACCAGTTGGTTGCCTCCCACACTACCCTGACCAGGGCCAGGGATCAAACCTGCAACCCAGATATGTGCCCTTCACCAGGAATCGAACCTATGACCCTTCGATCGCGGGGTGGGAGGGGTGGGGTTAGGGGAAGCTCTAACCCTGAGCCAAACCAACCAGGGCTACATGCATTTAAAAAAATTTTTTTTTTTGCCTTTATTGATTTGGAGAGAGAGGAAGGGAGAAGGAGAGAGAGAAACATCAGTGAGAGAGAACATCAACTGGCTGTCTCCTGCATGCCCCCCACTGGGATCAGGCCCACAACTTGGGCATGTGTCCTGACCGGGAATCGAACCCGCGACCTCTTGGTTCATGGGTTGATGCTCAACCACTGAGCTACACTGGCCGGGCACTACATGCATTTTTGTTTCACATTTTGCAACAACCCATGAGCTCACCTTTTATAGATGAGAAACTGAGTAACAGAGCCCAGGTTCATAGAGATAGAGGGTTTGTCTGGCTCCAGAAACTCTTTCATTTAAAAAAAAAAAAAAAAATGATGATTTAGGCAAGTCACTTAACCTCCAAGAGTCTCAGATTTCTCATTCGGAAAATGGGGATAATAACAGTAATCACCTCATTGTGAGAGCAACTGAGATAACAGCACAGTGCCCGACACGCAGTAGTTGCTCAATCATTATCAGTGATTAAAGCTCACAACTCCCAAAGCATATTTACCATATGAGTTGGCTAATTGCTCTGACTAAAATGCTTTCTGGAAGCACTCTTGAACCATAGCTGAGAGGAAGCTGCCATACCTGGCCCCTCCTTTGTCCCTCAGGGGTGCTCTCTCCCAGGGATGCACCACTGTATGAAAAAATTACCTTACCGGTTACTTGCAGAATGCTCAGCAACAGAAAACACATCCTGGTCTGATGGAAAGCGCACAGAATCTGTGACTACCCTGTCCAGGCTGTGTGGCCACAGGAAATCTTGAAAGCTCTCTGACTTTTCTCATCTACCCAATGGGAATAATACTACCTCCAACCAATATCAAGGTAATGCATAAGCAGCTTTTAGTGCATTGCCGGACACGGAGTAAGACCTAAAGGAGTTGTGCAACATTGTCCTAGTCGGATCATGTATATGAGCACACTTTACTGTAAGTCGAGGACAAGATGGATTTATAAATCACGTTATCAGAGTCAAGTATTAAAAGTACGTAGAGGAGAGGTAACGAACGACAGGATTGTGCAAATCAGGTACTATCGTGTATCCTGAACACCCACCTGTCTTCTTAAGAAAAAACAAGCGGCTCCTCCTCCTGACTCCTGAGAGGCGGGGTGAGAGAAGACCCGCCCTTCTCCGTCGCCCCCCCCCCCCGAGCCCGGCCTCCAGGTCGAGTGACGCGCGCAAGGCCCCGCCCAGTAAGGGGCGGAGCAGACTGGTCACGTGAGAGTGGGTGCGGAAGTGGTGTCGCAGGCCGCGTTGGTGGTTGGCCGGGGCCTGGGTCTCGGGGGCGGGGTCAGGCCGGCCAGACCCGCCCGGAGGAGCTGGGGGAGGAGGCAGCAGTGGGGGCTGGCACTAGGTCTGGGATTCGATCTGTGGTCCCACCGGGTGCTGGACCAGCGGCGGTCCCGTGCACCCCGGCCTGCGCGCGCCCGGTGCTCTGGGTCACCCCAATCCGAGGCGCCGGCGCTGCAGTAGGCGGGAGGAAGGATCAGAGGGCGCGGGCGCCCTGTGCTCTGAGCAGGCAGGAGGCGGCCGGGGGCCGGGACGCCATGTCCATGGAGGACCCCTTCTTTGTGGTGAAAGGGTGAGTGTCGCCGAGGGCTCCACGGGAGGAGGAGGTGGCGATGCTGCCTGCCCCTTCCTCCCCGCTCTCCTTGCTGGAGGGGGAGGGGAGACAAGTTGAGGCTGGGGAGGGGCATGGGGACAGCTTAGCCTTCAGGGCCATGACCAAGCGTCCAGAGACATCCCTTCCTTGACCTACCTGGACTGTGAAATCCGTGCCCCCAACCAAGCCCCTGGGGAGGGGGTCCCCTTTGGCCAGTGCGCTGCTGTGTAACTTAAGTGGGGGTCGAGGAGTTCAGCAGCTCAGCAGGTGGGGAGGGAGACTCGGGTCCCAGCCCAAACTGGGGCTCTAGTGGAGCACCGGGCTCTGCTTCGAAGGAGGGAAAACAGCATCTGGGCAGGAAAAGGGAAATGGCCCTCCTGAGCTTTGTAGTTGGCTTTGACGGGGGTGAGCTCCCATTGTCCATTGAGATCCGAGCGCTGGCCCGCAGACTGGTGGGACCACAAGCAGCCCGGAGGCGCCCCAGCACGTTTGCAGGCTGGGAGGCGGGGGCGGTGCGGCTCTGGGAGGCTGGGGAGCTGGGCTCCGGAAGACAGCTCAATTCAGTGGGGGAGTTTTTACTGAGTAATGGGACGGGAGGAAAGCAGTCGTTCATGCTCAGTGATGATGTTGGAAGGAAAACAAAATGAAATCAGCCAAACTAAACTTTCCTTGGCTTTCTGTTAGCACCGGGATTTTCCCACAGTGCTAAAGGAAACGAGTGCTTTCTTTTCAACTCCCTGATTTCATCCAGGCTATTTGACAGGTTTGTTCACTTGTTTTTCCCTTTGAGCTCTCCTGACTCCATGTTTGATTACTGCATTGTTTGGAGATAGAAACTTTAATTGCACTTTGTACTGTATCAGCTTTGTAGCCATTAAACAAATGCAAGAAAGATGGAGTCTGATGTTTTTACAACTTGTCAGCTTTATGTTATAAATATCAAACGAACAAATCTAAGAACTACAAAGTTCCCAGAAGATAGTACTAATAACCACACGGGGTTCCTTTGCTTTCAACTAGTTGCTACTAGCTTCCTATTTCTGTAATGGTGAAAGTTGACCTGGTTTAATTTTTTTTTTTTTTAAGGCGTCTTAGAAAATTTAAATGGTGCTTTAGGTGAAATATTTTATTATCCATGATACAGTAAAATTTATTTATACACTTAACATTTCCCTAAAAGGGTTTTTCTTCACCTTACTTTAGATGGGAAAATGTTATGTTGTACTTTTTTTTTTTTTTTAGTAATATGTGACTCTCCGCCTGGAAAATGTGTTATATATTTTATTAGATGGATTGATTTAGGGATTAATTTTTAAATGTTAAAGCTGTGTGTTTTTCCCCCGAATAAAAGTTCTTAATTCTTAAGTTGCAAAGGTTATCTCTGGCAGTGGAGACCAGAGAGAATCAGAACTCTGTTTGATTTTTAATAGAATTTGTGAAAATGTTAAATTGCTCTGCTTCCTGACATTTTTCCCCCCCTCAAGAGTATCCAATACAGACTCCCGATGTTTGCTCACTGATTAGATATCACTGCTTTATTGGAACATTAGCCTGGAGTCTTAGTTGATTTTGACATCATCTTATTGTCTGTCCTTAGTGTGCCTGAAGGCAATGACTCACAATATCTTCTGCTGTGCAAAAGTAAAGTTAGCCACATCGGTGTCTCCAGTATTTGGGAAGGCATGTATGTCCCTCTGTTCATTAAAAGTATTGAAAATGCATCACACAATGTGGAAAAGTTAAAGATGCCTAAATTGTGGCCCTTACCCTAGGAGCTGATAGTCTCAGCTGAGAAACAACTGACCTCAAAGCTTAAGTAGAAATGACAGGTGTAAATGATAAAGTGCTGAAGTGAATGCTACAGAAGATAAGTGCCCCTGGAGTCTGGAGAAAGGTGACTCATGAGGGATGGTTATGATTGGAAAAGCTTTGGGAGGTAGTATTACATCTTGAATTAGGTTTTGAAGATGGGTAGAATTTAGGTAATTCAGGTCTTCCTGCTCCCAGTCTCTTTCCTCTGCCTTTGGTTGTACTGGGTCAGTGCTATCCAAAATACATGGGAGCCACCTTGAAAAGTAAAAATAAACAGGAGAAATTAATTTTAATGCCATCTTCAAGTTCATAGGTTCAAAATAATTCAACATGTGATTGATCAATAAAGATTATTAATGAGACATTTTACTTTTTTTGTATTGTCTTCAACATCTGGTGCATATTTTACACTTACAGCACATCTCGGTTTGGATGCTAATTTTTCATCAGAAATACTTATCTGTATTTAGAGTTTATTAAACTTAGAGTGGAGAAAGTAGAGTCACATACCCAAATTGTTCCAAGCATACTTAAAAATTTTACTAGTAATTGAAGTATGCATTAGTTTCTCAATTTAAGTGAATTTAAATTAAAATTTTAGTTCCTCAGTCACACTAACGCATTTCAAGCCTTCAGTTGTCACATGTGGCTTCCGTATTGGGCAGCACAGAACCCAAGTAGGGGTTCCCAACCTAATACCACTTAGTGGCTGCCTGTTGTCTACAGAATAAAACCCAAACACCTCATGACCGGCGTGATCCTGCCCTCCTCTCAGAGTCCCAGCCATGCCTGACCCAGTGCCGTGACCTTGACCACAGTACTGGATGCTCTGCTCCACCTGCCCCAGCCCTGCCTGCTTCACCCACTCGGCTCTCAAGATCCGGAGTCAGCATCTCCACTCCCTCCAGGACATGCTCCCCTTGGCACCTGTAACACATTATTGCACTTCTTCCTGTGCCTTTCAGCATTAGATTATGAGCTCTGAGGGTTGGGACTGTTTATTTTTCCTGTATTTCCAGCCCAGCACCTTGAATATTTAGCATAAATGTTGAATGAATACTCTATGGTGGTGCTGGTGGTGGTGTTGGCGGTGCACGGGTGGGAATGCCAGTAGCAAAGGCCCCGAGATGAGCATTGTTTGTTTAGAAATCATGGCAAACATCCCAGGTGGAGTAGGAAGTTTATCTGGGAAGAAATAATAATGGCTAACATTTCAAGGATGCCACTCCTATGCCAGGCATTGTGTGCTGAGTAAGCACTGTGTGAGACTTTTCATTTTGTAAGAGCAGCTCTATGATGTGGGTCTTGGCCACATTCTAGAGATGAAGAACTGAGGGAGCACAGAGGGGTTAAGTTACTTGCCCAGGGTTACACAGCTAATAAGTAGTCGACCCAGGATTCAAATTTGCACTGCCTAATTCTTCTCACACTGTTAACACTTCATAGTACAAGGTAGAATAAGGTCAAGGAGAGTTTATCTTGAGGCCACTGGAGATTTTAAAGCCGAAAAATGACATGAAATTAGGGTTTTAGGAATGTTGATTTGGTAGTAGCATTGGCTACATTGGCGGAGGGAAAGTTGAAAAAGGAGACCAGTTAGAAAGCTGTCTTAACTGCAGTGACGAATGCCTGGGTGTTTGAGGCTCCTTTAGTTAGTATGACTGAGGCAGAGCACAGAGGAGGAAAGCCCACTGCTGGGTGGGGTGGGGTGCCCCTTAGGGCAAGTGTGTTCCTGCCTGGTGCAGACATTCCCAGGGTACACACTGGGGTGTAATTCACACTCCAGGCCTGAACCTCCCAGCTCTGCTGATCACCTCTGGCCGGCTGGTGCCCTATCCTTCCCTTCAGCGTGGCCTCGCTGGTTGACCCTCTGTGCTTCTCCCTGGGTACCTCCATTGTTCCCGTTGCCACAGGTGCCCCTGTGTGTCTGTGCACCTCCTGCGCCCGTCACTCTGGTGCAACTCTCCTGGGTGCGGTTCTCTTTTCTACTAATTACTGCATATCCGACGCAGTGGGCGGAGATCTCCTCTTCTCCTTCCCCTGCCTATGAGCACCTGACCGGTCCTTCGTCCTCTAGCCCTCTTCACTCCTGACCCCGCAGTCTCCTTCAGTCCTGGCCCACCTGTCATCGCATCCCACTGGTGCCATCATAAGGAATCTCTGGAACTTTCTCCAACGCTCCGGCTTTGGCTCCTCTACCCGAGCTCACGTCTGTGCCCTCCCACCAGAGCTTTAGTCCAGGTTCGGGGCTGTGGACCAGTGCTGAAATAGTGGCATGAGTAAGCAGATGAGCAAGATGGTTTGTGTCGTGTTATATTTTCCTGTCACTGCCTTTTATCTGTATATGAAACCTTTTATTTTTTATCTTTTGTTAATCCTCACCTGAGGATATTTTTTCTATTGATTTTTAGGTAGAGTGGAAGGGAGCAAGACAGACACATTGATTGGTTGCCTCCCGCACGACCCTGACCAGGGCCGGGGGATCGAACCTGCATCCCAGGCACATGCATTTGATCAGGAATAGAACCTGCGACCCTTCGGTTCACGGGCCAGCACTCTAATCACGGAGCCAAACTGGCCGGGGCTGTATATGAATCCTTTTAGAGCAGCGGTTCTTAATCTATGCGTCGTGACCCCTTTGGGGGTCGAACAACCCTTTCACAGGGGTCACCTAAGACAACAGTAGCAAAATTACAGTTATGAAGTAGCAACGAAAATCATTTTATGGTTGGGGGGGTCACCGCAACATGAGGAACTGTATGAAAGGGTCGCGGCGTTAGGAAGGTTGAGAACCCCTGGTCTAGAGCATGAGTTCCTTGAAGGCCAGCGTGTGCATCCTTCCTGCTCACGAAGCTGAGAAAACTGTTTCTGGAGACCGTCACTGTGAAAAAAATAATTCTTGTTTGCAGAGGAACTTTAGTCTAGTACAATTGGATGTAGGTCATATCTCATTTCCTACTTTTTAAAAATCAGAATCAGATGTTTCACTGTAAACATTGGTTCTAAATGCACTGAGTACTGTATCTGGTTCCTGAGGCTGTCGTCTAGTTTGGAGAACACTGTGCAGAACCGAAGAGGATAGGGGAAGACAATGTGCATTGTGTGTACGATTTTGGACTGGAGTTGAGGTGCTGTGGAAATTGAAAAAAGGAAAGACCCGAGTGGGAACGTTGGTCAAGGACACTTGAGTGACGCAAGTAGGGTCTCAATCTGGGCCTCAAAGGAAATGTCTGCTTTTCATTTGCAGAGGTGTAAAGACTCCCAAGCTGGGGAAACACACACAAGTCTAGAGCCAGGAATGAGAAAAAGGGGGGGTGGGGGGGGTGGAAGATGCCTAGATGCCTGCCAACTGAAACCAAATTTGTTTTAGTGAGAAATCAGGTTGGATATTAAAGTCGGCCAGCTTGGGGGAAGCAGAGGCATGGAATACCCAGCTGACGAGTTTAAATTTAATCTGTTTCTCATCATAAATTCTTAACCAGGAGGCGGGTTTCACTCCAGTGACTATTCACTTGCCTGTGGTCAAACAGCTTTTCGGGGCTCCAGCCCAGGTGTTGAGTCCACAAAGAAAATCCACTTGTCTGGAGGCTTAGCAAAGATGGAATCGAAGAGTCTTAATTGTGAAAGGTGCCTCGCACTCAGAGTCCGAAACTCGGGGCAAGCAGCCAAGGTGGCTGAGCCCCAGCCCTCTTATTTGCTCAATGAGTGCAGATTAGTTATCTTGAAAGTTCCTTCCAGATCTAAACTCCGGTGATTGGGCTTAAGTAGGGGTTGTGCAAGGTGAGAAGTAAGAGGAAGAGTCAAAGATGACGCTTGTCTAGACAAGTTTTGAATCTTGGAAAACAGTGGCACTATTTTCTAAAATGGGAAGTTAGAGACAGAAGCAGATTTTTAACCCGTTTTATCTTTCTGTTTGAATACTTGCCTTTTTTGTAGGGAGGGCATGGTTTGTTTGGTTTTAAGCAAATGGAAGGATCCTATAGGCAGCTAAAAATATAGGAGCTAATCCTGGGTGGGTGGTGAGAGTTGGAAATGCCTTTGGGGAGCCATCGGCTTAAAGGGATCTTTGACCCTGTGAGTGTAGACAGAACCTAGAAGCTGTGAAAAGGCTGCGGAGGAAGAAACATTGAGACCAAGTGGAGGCAGAGCACAGAGAACATTGGTAGAAACTAGAAGGGCAGTGTCACAAAACCAAAGGAAGTGAGCGTTTCATGAAAATAGATGAGAAGGCTGTAGTGTCAAATCCACTGAAAATGAGGATGAGCTCAGGTGACAGGGCTTTGACCTGCATCATTGGTGACAGTAGTACCATCCCAGGGGGGTTGTGGAAGCAGAAGCAGGTTGAGGCAACATTGTAACTAAGACAACTTTTTTTTTAACCCACAAGAATAATCGGAAAATTACTACGTATCTACCCACTTAGTGGTGGGATTTTGGGGTCATATGGTAAGTGTACGCTTAACTTTAAAAACAGCCAAACGGTTTTCCAAAGCGATTGGACCGGTTTGCATTCCCACCAGTAAGGCATGCGAGGTCCAGGTTCCCTGTCACCTGGTCAGCACCTGGCACTGTCAGTGTTGTTCGCTTTCTTGTTTAAGCCATTCTAAGTATGTAGTGGTATCTCGTGGTGAAGTTCATTTGCATTTTCCTGATGACTAATGGTACCGAGCATCTTGTCATCTTTGCCTTCTGTGGTGAAGGGACTGTTCAAATGTTTTGCCCTTTTTTAAATTGCGTTTGTTTCATTTAGAGTTTTAAAAATATATTGTTAAGTTTTGAGATTTAAAAATATTTCAAAAAAGATGTGACATGGATCAGATGTGTAAGTTGCAAAGTTCTCCCCCTGCCCGGTGCCCTTTTCCGCGCTCTGCGCCACGTGCTCTTCCCCCGAGAGATAAGACGGTCTCCGGGCACAGTGCGGCTGGGACGAGTCCCGAGCTAAAACACCTGGTCGTCCCCGCACAGACTCTCATGTTTACCTGAAAGAATAACTGACAAACTGGTTGTTGAGACTCACATATGTTCTCAAATCTCAAAATTATCTAAAAAATACTTGCGATATTGTCTTTAAAATGAATGGGGCAAACCCATTACTTCATGGAAAGCACCTGACAGTATTTTTGCTGACGATAAAATTAGAGTCGTCCCCCCCTTTTTAAAAAGAATTCTGGAAAGCTTTTATCAACTACTATCATCTTACAAATTCCCAATACTTCTGTGTTTGTGATGAGATTGGTGGTGGTATTATATGATTTTGAGTTCTGTGTAATGAAATGAATCAGCATTTCATGATGTTATAAAGGCATACTGGGTAATGACCCATTCAACATTCAAGATAGAGTAATGGACTGGAATTGTGTGATAGTTCAAAAAGTCTTTGATACAGTTTCGGGTTCCACATTGCAACCTTTAAGAAACTGCCATTTGTCGCCCTGGCCAGTTTGGCTCAGCGGTTAGAGCCTCGGCCTACGGTCCGGAGAGACCCGGGTTCGGTTCCCGCTAAGGGCATGTACTTCGGTTGCAGTTTGTCCCCGACCCTGGTCGGTTGTGCGGGTGGCAGCCACTCGATGTGTCCCTTCACGTCGATGTTTCTCACTCTCTCTCCCTCCCACTCTATCTGTACAAAAAAAAAAAAGGAAAAATATCCTCGGATGAGGATAAAAAAAAAAAAAGAAACTGCCATTTGTCGTGTTTTGGTCCACAATTATCTGCAGCAAGTATTAAAAATACTCCTCCCTCCCCCAACTATATATCTAATGAGGCTGGATTTTCATCATATACTCAACCAAAATGTATGTCAACAGACTGAATGTAAAAACAGTTATGAGAATCCAGCTGTTTTTTGTTAAACCACATATTAAAGAAATTTGGAAAAAATAAAAATGTTAAACAGTGCTATTCTTCCCGCTATTTTTTTTTTTTAAGTTATTTTTTTATGAAAATGTGTTAACATGTAGTAAGTTCATTGTGATTTTTAACTAATTGATAAGTATCTTTTTAAATGTCTGTTTGAATTTCTCTATCAACTTAAGTTCTCCGGAGTGTTCAGGCGTTGTGAAGAGGGGTTGCTCCTTAAGGGCTGACTCCAGCATCACAGGTGGTGGGAACGTGGGGTGCCCCAGCCTGAGGCTTCTTGGGTTTGACGTGCCTAGCTCTCCAAAAGGAATTTATATTTACTTTACAGAATTAATACATTTTATATTCTTTAAAATGAGATCACTGTTCTCGATCCCTCTTGACTGTCTTCCGTTACCATAGATGATACTCCACATTACGAATAAACCGAGTGCCTCCCATGATGGGAAGATGTGTACCTCTCTCCACCAAACCAGCCGGAAACCCCAGTGAAGAGTAAAGACAGTGCATTTACATCTCACTTCCTCAGGCCTTCCCCTGTTTGTCTCAGACAGTTTCTCAGGACTGGAGCAAGGCTGAGGGAGAGGAGCGAGGACAGCACCTGCCCAGCGCACTGGACGGACGAGCTGGCGGATGCGCTGGGGCCGCGGGGCGCAGTGATTGCTTCAGCCGGGCCCAGCGGCTGGGTCTAACACAGCCTCCCGCTCATCAGTATTCCACAGGCGAAATGTTGTCAGACACTTCTTCATTTTTGTTAGCGCTTTCTCTCCTGGTGCTTGAAACGTCAGCAGGAATAGGATGTGTGCAAATTTGCTTGTAAGGCTGCAGTCAACAAACACCCTGACTGAACGCACAGAATTGGTTAAGAAATCCTGGGGGAATCAGAACAGATCTCTTAGTTTGGGAGCAGTAAAGTTATTATCTTTGTACATAAGAGACCATATGATTATAAAATGACTCCTTTTTTTGGCTTTTATATGTGGTAGTGTTAGATGATAGCATTTAACTGGTCGATAGTGGTCCAGCGGCGGGGGAAAGGTTTTTAAAACCCTGTGACAACATCGAATCTAAAAGAACACTGGATCGCACATAGTGCGTCTGGCCTGAGCCCTCTCGAACCAACAAACACACCAATCTGCCCGACACCATGGCTCAGTCCAGGGAAGGGGATATATTTAAAGCTAATAATGTTGGGAAATCTAATGAGATTTGGGGTTTTTAAATGTCCCAAATAAAAATACTTAACCCCTAAAAGATTAGCAGAGTTAGAGTAACCCTTTCTCCATGCTTTTTACCCCTACCCCCACCCCAAAGGAAAGAAAAGCTGTGTTAGGACTTTTCCATCGAATATAAATTACTGTCCCACCGAATGGCAGCACGTGGGAATGTTAATGGCCCTTTAGTTAATATCGCTTCTAGTACTGTGTTAAGCATAGTCTGTTCGGAGCATAATTAAATTTCTGTCCTTCTCAAACAAACTTGATATTAGAGCTGCTTAAATAATGGCTATTTCATTCTGGACCTCAGCTGAGAACATAATACTTAGATTGTTACTTTAGAGTTTTGAACTTTGGTATTTGTCCATGAAGAGCCTTCTATAAAGACTTGAATACACTTTTGGGAATGGTGGTTGCTGCTGAGAATGGATGTGACCATGTTAGTGTAAGTCACGCAGGAACTGTCGCGGACCATGTCTGTGACGCCTCTCCTTCCTTCCTTGATTACAGAGAGGTACAGAAAGCTGTCAACACTGCCCAGGGCTTGTTTCAGAGATGGACAGAGCTCCTTCAGGACCCCGCCACGGCCACGAGGGAGGAAATCGACTGGACCACCAACGAGCTGAGAAACAACCTCCGGAGCATAGAGTGGGACCTGGAGGACCTTGACGAAACCATCAATATCCTTTTCGGTGCAGTCTGAGCCCCTTGGGGCAAACAGACAAACGGACAAGTTTTTATCCAGGTCTCAAGCACATAGATTGGGCATCTCCTTTTATGATCGATGGATATTGTTCTCATTTGGACTGTGACACACTTAAAATAATTGCCCAGGAAGCTAAGGTAGAACAGCCAAATTCTTCTCCAGTGTGTGGCCAATCCTGCACACTGAGCAGCGTGCGCAATGGCTATGCACTCAGACCCTGGAGTCAGGCTGCGTGTTCAAGTCCTGGCTCTGCCGATTGCTAACTGTGTGACTTTGGACACATTGCTGTGTGACTTTGGGCACATTGCTCTGTGCTTCAGTTTCCTTTCCAGTAGAAAGTTAGGATAATAACAGTACCTAATTCATAGGGTTGTTGAAAGTGTAACAGGTAGGTAGCTTAGAATGGTGCCCCCCACACAGCGAGAGGCATCTTTTTCATGAACAGCATTTAGTAAAAGATCTATTATGCTAAGTTATGCTATTGATGTTCAGTAAGTCCACTGATCTGACAAACCAGAGCACTGTAAAAGCTGAAATGATGTGGCCTTTTCCACTGGAAAAAATTCTGTTTAATCAGGACTTTAGATTGAAGGCATGCCAGTTGCATGTTCTGAGTTCTGTTTTGTTTGTTTCTTTCAAGTGTGATAAAACATCAAGGAAACCATCATTTCTATTCATCATAATGACCCCGGGCACCTTTTAAATTATTAAAAGATAACGGTGTTCTCTAAAATGAGCGGCACGAAATATGTGAGAGGACGGGATCTAAAGCACAGTTACAGGAAGATACGTCTCCCCTTGAGATAGGAGGGAAGAAAAAAGATTGGAGGAGGTAGCGAAATTATGAGAAAGAGGACAAAACTTTTATGTTTTTCATTGATTTTTAGAGAGAGAGGAAGGGAGAGGGGAGGGACATATAGATGGAAACATCAATGAGAGAGAAACATCAACCAGTTGCCTCCTGCACACCCCCACTGGGGATCAAGCCTGCGACCTGGGCATGTGCCCTGACCAGGAATCGAACCAGCAACCTCTTGGTGCCTGAGTCAATGCTCAACCACTGAGCCGTACTGGTCAGGAGACAAAAGTTTTAATAAATATTCATCAACCAGCAAATAATTATTGAGTATATCATGTGCTGGACTTTTTGTTGATTACTGAGATTGGATTGCTAAGCAAAACAGTATACCAGCCTTCATGGAATGACAGTGAAGGGTAGAGAGGGACTTAGGGGGCCAGACATTAATCAGATTATAGCACAAATGCATGCTGCAGATTGTGAGAGAAAACTCCAGAGTGCCATGTGAGTGTCCGATGTGGGGTGACAGGACCAGGCTGGGGGCCAGGAGACCAGGGGAAGCTCTGCTAAAGGGGCCTCCATCTCTAGATTAAGAATCAAGGTTACCCTGACCGGTTTGGCTCAGCTGTTAGAGCGTCGGCCTGCGGACTGAAGAGTCTCGTGGTCGATTCTGATCAAGGGCACGTACCTTGCTTGCGGTTTGATCCCTGGCCCCGGTTGGGGTTGTGCAGGAGGCAGGCAAGCAATGTGTCTCTCTTGCATTGATGTTTCTCTCTCTCTCTCTCTCCCCCCTCCCTCCCTCTCTGAAAATCAATGAGGTGTCCTTGGGTGAGGATTAAAAAAAAAAGAGTCAGGGTCAGCTTCTTGCCGTAAGTGGAAGGGTTTGGAACTCTAAGTGAAAAAGGTTGCAGAAGCTGGCGGGGAAAGGTGACCTGGGTCAGGAGGACAGGTACATACCAAACGCTGGCCGGCATCTGGGAGAGCCCAGCCCAGCTGCGTCAGCCAGCCAGGAATTGATGGTGGACCCAGTCAGGCCTGTGGGTCCTCAGCCTGGCAGGTGTCTCCGCCGAGGGGCACAGGGTCCTACTAAAACTGCAGGCAGAGAAGGTCTGAGAAGGATGACTGTCAAGTTGCCTGTCTTCAGAAATCTGCAGGACTTTATTGCTTGCCCGTGAGGGATGCTGTGGTCCAGTGTGATGTTGTTTGTTAGGCACTTCACGATGACACGGCTTTACCTTGACTTCTTGACCCACGCATAGTTGAAGCAAATCCTAGAAAATTCAATCTCGATGCAACCGAACTGAGTATAAGAAAATCCTTCATCACAAGCACTCGGCAAGTTGTCCGGGTAAGGAATGTGATCTTATCATGCAAGAAATAGCCAAACTTCTCAGAACTCTTTCTCTTAATGGTAAACTAATACATCAACTCTGCAGCTATGTTTTTCATATGAATTAAATGCCGCTTTCCCACACAGAATTTCTCTAGCAGAAAAGAGAAGTCTGTCTTTAGCATCATCGGGTGTATTTCTTAGAGCAGACATGAGAGTCGGCTGGCTTTGGGAAGTTGTGTTAATGGTGTTGTCCTGTCCACACCTCTCCTTCCTCCAGACCAGCTACCATTCCCTCTGTGGTCCTCTCCACTGTATTTCTGGGCCAAATGAAGAGTTACTATTGTAGAAACCATGTGGTTTCTGGATGGATTGGCGATCACTTTGCATTGTGCAGAGTGACTCTCCTGGGTTTGCACGGCAGCCTCTCACCACCTGAACTTCAGCTTCTGGAACTCCCGCTGCCCCGTTGCTGACATCTGCACATACACTGCCTGACAGGGTTTGGGGGCTTCTCCAGAGCAGGCGGCATCTCCCCGTGCAGAAACCAGCGCATGTGAACAAATATCTAGCCTCCAGTTATTTAGAAAATAACCTGTTGTTTAAAAACCTAAGAGAAGATAGCATTTAAGTAAAAAATTGTAGCATTAAGATACGTTTGTCATTTGAAACTGTATGGCTAAGCCATTTGATTAGCATAACTAGATGTAAGAGAACCAGCTGTCTTTAACATATGTACTAGAAAGCAGCTTCCTTGAATAAAAAAAAGTTGGGATCATATCAGTGCTAACATATGGCTTTTTAAGAGTCATCTTAGGCAGGAACCTTGGTATCCATTTGCCAAAGACTTTATATCATGTGATTTCCTTTTGAAATTGTTTCAAATGATAGATTATCACTGAACTTGAAATATTCTTGTTCTTTGTTCTATTCATTAGTTGCCTTTCTATATACAGATATCTAAATAGCCCGGCTGGTGTGGCTCAGTGGTTGAGCGTCAACCCATGCACCAAGAGGTCGCCAATTCGATTCCTGGTCAGGGCACATGCCCAGGTTGTGGGCCAGATCCCTAGTGGGGGGCATGCAGGAGGCGGCCAGTCGATGTTCTCTCTCATCGATGTTTCTCTCTCTCTTCCTTCCTCTCTAAAATCAATAAAGAAAAAAACTTTTTAAAAAATTGTTTATAAACAAACATTTTAATGGGCAGTAACCTTTCGGACCTCCAGTCGACCCCATCTGCACAACGAGCCTTTGGACTAGATATTTCTAGCCAGCTAAGAAAGCTAGTCTGATCAGGAAACCCCATTGTTTGGCGATGTATTGTTTGGTAAGGCAGATAATCCATCGCCATTATTTGTCTATAAATATAGTTTGCTTTTTTTAGTTTTTGTAAAATCCTTCAGATTTTCTGAAGGACACTTCTGTAGATGTTGGTATTTAAATGGTGCCTTATGGTGAAAGCTATGTATCTTGACCTTATTTAAGTTCTCTCTGTAAGGTTGTACTTGTAAATATTGCAAATTGAAATTCAGAGGTTAATGTATTGAGTGTTAAGTTAGCTGGTATAATTTGAAGTAGAACCCAAAGTCTGTTTTCTGATATCGGAAAATTGTTTGAAGTTCAGCCCTTGAAAGCAGTGCCCTAAATCAGGTCTGTATGTCACAAAGTAGCTTCTAGAGCCGGGGTCTAAGCCACACTCAGCTGTGATCCAACTGAATACTTGATGGTTCTTAGCCATTCTTGTTTTAATTTATTCATTTATTAATTTTTGGTACGTGCCTTTAGCGGGAACCGAACCCAGGACACTCTGGTCTGCAGGCCAACGCTCCAACCACTGAGCCAAACCGGCCAGGGCTCTTAATTTAAATAAAGCCTAACTGAAGTCCGTAGGAGAGAGGAAGCAGTGGCCACTTTGAAAGTCGAAGCAACGTGGCTGTCACTCAGACGTCCCGCAGCAGCAGTTACGAAAGTTGTGGCTCTCTGGTCTACCCTTCACTTGTCATGGGTCTTAGAAGAAGCTTCTAAAAGTGTTGGCATCTATAAAATAGTCTACTGGCCGGTAGAAAATCATCAAGTATTTTGGCAGCCTTGAAGAAAAATCGTATTATAGTAATTATGTACTCAGTTCAAATCATTTTAAAGTATATCGGGTCATGGTTAGTTGATTAGCAAAATGACTCATATTTAACAAAGTGTTTTTTCTTCATCGTAAGTAATGGGTCCATTCATTTTATTCCCATAGGAAATGATTTCTGATGCCACTCTGGAAATTCACTGTGGTGTTTGAAATAGTCTATATTCACATAAATCCAACGCAAAGGTGAAATAAGTGACCTGTTGTTTCACTGTTAGAAATTTCACAGGTGTTTAGTGGTAACTGTCCTGACGTGCGTGGGATTTCACATGTACTTGAAGATGCCAGCCCTTGAGCACGGGCGTGTGTGTTTGAGCCCCAAAGTTGCCATTTTCTGACTGTGACCTTGAGAAACTAGCTCCAGTCTTTTTAGACCTCAGTCTCTTCGACTGTAGAGCAGAGGCCAAGCCGGCTCAGAGGGTCGTCATGAAAAGCCAGCGGTAATGTGCGTAAGCGTTGAACAGTGTTTCTGCTCAGAGTAGGTTCCCAGGAAATACAAGCTCCTTCCCTCTCTTCTCCTACTTAAGGTTAGTACCCAGGTACCTCTTTTCAAGGGGACATTGTTCTCTTTATTGCCTTTATTTTTGAGACTGAAAAAAGCCAAAGAAAGCTGTCTTCTTGTTAGGCGTATTTTGCTAGTGTAGGAAATGCTCACCGTGACTTTGCTTCGTCTGGGGGTACTCATTTGTTTCCTGGTTACCTCATTAGGACATGAAGGATCAGATGTCAGCTTCATCTGTGCAGGCAGTAGCTGAAAGAAAAAACAGACAGGTGAGTCAACATCTGAATACAGAGTATCAAATCAAAGACAAGACACAGATGCTGGAATTTTGAAATGCTGACATCTGTGTATCATGTACACAAGCAGAATCCTGTGCACGCTGAGCCTGGACGGGGCGGGCAGGTTTTGTGAAAGGCCAGTCACCAGCCCGCCCTGCCCCATGGTCAGCTGTCCCTGCCCTCCCCCCTCCGCCCACCCTCCGCATCTCCTCTGGGCTTCCTCGTGCCCTGTGCTTGCCTAGCCCTTTCCACACAGCCATTTATTCCGCACCTGCTGGGCACATTCTGTGTGCCAGGTTCTGCTAAGGGCTGTAATTGCTTAGTTACTTGTCTTTTCCTCTGCTGGACCCCAGGCTCCTAGAGAGTGAGGAATTTCTTTAATTTCCAGCTGCTGTTACATTGCCTACCCCATAGAACTAGATATTTAATGATTGACATTTTATGAAATTTAAAATAAAATGAAAGACATTTGAAGAATCTTAAATGTGTGTGAATTTAATGTGTTAAATTAAATCTTGCATCATTTTAAGTATCTTTTTTTTGAGATGAGGTCCAGTTTTCATTAGTTATGACAAATAAATTATGCAACCTAATACATTTCTGAAACCAGAGCATGGGTATTGACACATCTAAAATAAAAGCCACAAAAGCCCTGTTCTAGGTATCTTTTAAAAATTAGACACTTTGGTGTACGATAGAAATTCCTTTCCAACTGATATAATACAGTCCTTTAAAAAAAAAAAAAACTGCCCTGGCCGGTTTGGCTCAGCGGTTAGAGCGTCGGCCTGCGGTCCTGAGAGACCCGGGTTCGGTTCCCGCTAAGGGCACGTACCAAAATAAATAAATAAATAAATAAATAAATAAATAAATAAATAAATAAATAATACAATAGTCACTTTAAAATATAGGCTTGATTTAGATTTTATTCAGACTCCATAAAGTTACCAATAGTCCATTTGGTAGACTGTCAACTCAAGAAATCAGCTCACCATTTTGAACTAGTCAGTAGTTCACAATATAAATCCCTACTTTACACCTGTGGGTATTTGTTGACCCACTTAATTTTTAGAATAAATATAAAAGCTCAAAGAAGGAGAGGGGCTCTCCAAGCATCACCTCACTTAATTTTCCTGTTTCCTTTCCCTGCGTTTCATCTTAAAGTCGTTTTTTTCTCCTGCCTACTTGCCCTGGGAGGGTGAGGTAGGTAACCCTATCCTACTCGCTGGACAGTCTAGTTGAACTAACAATTAAAATGCACGTTTATCCATTGCCTTTCCGAGCGCAGCTTGGAGTTTTGTTTGGGGCAGTGAGTGAACCGGCTTGGAGTCACAGGCCGCCAGGGTCTCCACGCCCTCGGGCAGGGAGTCCCTCTTGCCGCCGCCTCGTGCCAGCAGCCCGGCCTGGCACCCACCGCAGGCTGGGCGTCCAGTGCTCTGGGCCCTCCCTCCATCTTCTCTCCCTTCCAGCAGACTCTGGGAGGTCAGGCTGATGAAATCCAAGCTACTTCACAGTGAAGCCTAGACAACTCTTAACGGGTGTCAGATGTCCAGCGAAGTGTAGCCCGTGCATAAGCCAGAAGGAGTAGCCCCGACTCTGGCTCCAGGAGCACACACAGTGATGACTCACTGTAGCCATTTTCTGACCTTGAAAAAATTGTCATTGAGCCCCAGTGAACTCTGTAGAGGTCCTTAGAGTCTTTGCAGGAGAACCAGTAGATGTTTTAAAGCTCGACAGCCCTGAGGCCAGGTGGGGCAGAGCCGTCCACAGAAAGCCTTGGTCTGCTTTTACCTGAGACGGTCACCATCCAGCCTCCCGAAGAGACGAGGGTGCAGGCCAGCTGGACGCTCAGACGTCCTGGTCCTCCTCTCGCGACTGCCCGGGTTATGCTGTGCACCCCGGGCCTAGCCCCGACTGCCGTTTGAGGTCAGTGACAGGATTGAGGGGCTTTGCAGACAGAACCAAGTAATCAGTGAGGCCTTTGGCAGCTCTAGAGATCAAAAGCAGCTGGTAAGAAGGTCTGGCAGCTCTGTAAGGAAAAAGAACCTCGGTCACCAGCGGGAGCTGGATCTCCATGCAGGCGGTGAGCAGTGTCTTTGACCGGCTGCTCAGAAAGGCCTGCGGGGTCCCAGCCAGCTGCTGAGACCCGGCTCCCCGTTCCTGTCTGGCCTCTTGCACAGGACGGTCCCAAACTTACCCTCTTCTGGCTACAAGCGTCCTTGAATTCCTACTGGGGAACCCGACCCTGCCATGCGGGGATCCTAGTGGTGACACTGCCTCAGGGCCAGCCCTTGCCCCAGTTATCAGATCAGGCACCCACTGTGGCCGTACCTGCCCAACAGATCCCTCCGTGGGTCTCTGGTGGACTTCCTCGGGTGCTAGGCAGAGCCGGCCCAGAGACCAAGCTCTTTTAGATTGTAAAGCTGTGTACAGATGGGTGTTTGTTGATTCAAAGTTGGCATTTATTTGCATTGTAATGGGACAAAGCCCATTTGTGAGTCCCATTGGGAGCGGTGGGGACAGGGCAGACCACACAGGCGCCCACCTGCACCCCTCCGTCCCGGCGGGCTGGCTCGGGGATGGTAACTACTCGTTTCCCTGCCCGGCGGCCCGCCCGGCTCTCGCAGGCGCTGCTGGGAGACAGCGGCGGCCAGAAGTGGAGCACCGGAGCCCCCGACAAATACGGGCGTCTGGACCGCGAGCTCCAGCTAGCCAACTCCCATTTCATCGAGGAGCAGCAGGCGCAGCAACAGGTACTGGAACCGCGCGGCAGAGACGTGCAGGCGGGGGCCTCCCGGGCTCCTCTGGCAGCCAGGGGCCTTTGTTGCTAATGACAGGCAGGTTGGACCCGAGCTAGCCCTGCGGCGGCCGTGCCTACCTGTGCAGTGACTGCATATGTAAAGGGTTTCTAATGCCTCCTCCGGAGCGCGCTTCAAGGGAACCAGCTTGATTAGGTCCCTTAGGAGAAGCAGACCAGACCTCCAAAGCTGACAGACAAGGCCACTGATTCAAAAACAAACAAAAGAACCCCTCTTCCCCAGCCTCCACTCGCAGACTCAGTTTTTTGTTCATTTCAACAAAGGCACGCTTTCAGAAAAATTGAGTCCTGGTTTTTTCATGGAAAATTATTGTTGGTTCCATTGTGTATATAAAATGATCGCTTGAGTGGAGGTGAAGGGTCGAAGGAGAGGGAGGTTGATTGTGTCTGTTGCTGCTTTTGATGTGTAGTTGTTGTAATAAAAGGGAGCTAATAATAGTACACCTGGATTTGAGGATGATCTGCCCGTTGAAGCTATTGGTTCCTACATATTGTTTAATGTATATATTTTAATCGGTTATATGATTGTTTTCCATTAGCATGTTTGCTTAACCAGTTGTCTGCTTAGATTGCTATTTACCAAGAAAAGTGTTTTGTTTTGTTTTTTAATAAAAGTGAGGAGGCTACCACACAATTAAATGAAATATTTGTCCCTTAGCAGTTGTCCTTGAGGTAACTGTTGTCACAGGGCTGCCTCTGGTGTGTCCTTGAGAGAGAGGACAGGACGTGGTTTTCCACGTCCAGAGCTTTGCCAGCCTCTCGTGTGAGCCTGCTGTGGATTGAGACCTTGGCCCTGGCAGTGGGCCTCCTCTTCCCAGCATCCCCACGTCGCAGTGGTCACTGCACAGGTGCTCTCGGCCATCACCTGTTCCTTGCTGGACTCCCGCCAGCCAGAGGCATCTCTCTCGGTGGCGTTGAGCCCCGCTGACTGTTCACAAGTCGGATCAGCAGGAGACAGCAGTAGCTTGACAATCCAGCTTTTTGAACAGTGTGTTCTTGGAGGCGCCGGTCTGGTCCTTTGATTTCTGGGCTTTGCTTCTGAATGAGAACTGTCCCAAGTTGGCAGAGAAGCTGGCAGCTGCTGGAGTGCTGGGCTTGGGACCAGGTAGGATGGATTTTAATTGCTTGTTTCCCATTCTCTGGTGCCAGCTGATCGTGGAGCAGCAGGATGAGCAGTTGGAGCTGGTCTCTGGCAGCATCGGGGTGCTGAAGAACATGTCCCAGCGCATCGGAGGGGAGCTGGAGGAACAGGCCGTGTGAGCATGAGACGCCCTCGGGGGCCCTGAGCTCGGGGGGAGCCATGTCCCAGGACCCCTGCCAAGCCTGACAGTTACAGGACTCGTAAAACAAAAACTATTTTATTTATAACTACATTTTTATTCTGTTTTAGAGACCAGCCTCTCCAAAAGAAGCAAATTATCAGTTAAAATATTAAACAGGGTGTAGGCAAAGTTATGATTTTTTCCCCGACACCTGCAAAAACAGATACAAATTCCTCTGAGCAGGTACTTGAAGGGCTGAGAGTGGGAGACACGGCTCTGCGGCCTCTGGGGAGACCTGTGTCCTGCAGGGGATAGGACACGAGCTGACATTATCATCCCGCGACTCTCCCTCTACATCAAATAGAACTTTTTGCTTTGCATCTCAAATTTAACTTCATGAGAAAAACTTAAAAATTTAACTCCAATTAGTAAAAAGTCTTCCCCTTTCAAAATCAAAAGTAAAGCCACACAAGGAAACATAGCTGGGTTTGTTTTTCCTTAAGCACAGTCTTTTTAAACTGAAGTATGATACCAAAATCAGCATTCTTAAATGCTACTACATAATACCTTTACCATTTTATGATATATTTTTTTTCTGAAAACAAACAAGAGTCCACTAGGATACATCAGAAGGTCTCCCATCTCAGTTTTGTGTTCAGAGTTACACACTCACTAACTGAATTTAGACTGGGCACCTGTCCTCAGAGTAGTGAACAGAAGAGTCCATGTCTGCCATCGGAGAGGACCACTTACTGGGCAGACTGGACACGATGTGAATGAGTACGCGTCACTAAGTGGTGACAGGAGAGGGAGGGCTGCCGGGATGGGAAGGTGCGTGTGGCCTTGAAAGCCCTGACTTAGCCCCAGCTCACAGTCTCCTCTACAGAAATATTCACGGGTGTGATTATGGGGCCTGCCCTGGGCCTGCTGAGGATGTTGGCTAATATGTGGCATATAAGACATATCACTTCGTTAAATATCAAAAATTCTGAATTCAAAAATCTGTCCTAAGGAGTTCAGGTAATAGACTGGGGGCTTGAACCCCCGTGTTGCTGGTCTTGTTTGCTGAGACTAAGGCCTCGGCCCCGATGAGTCCCACGGCCATGCGTCGCGAGGCTGCGTGTTTACCAGGGCCGTGTGCACCTGCTTCTCTCCCCAGCATGCTGGACGACTTCTCCCACGAGCTGGAGAGCACTCACTCTCGGCTGGACAACGTGATGAAGAAACTTGCAAAAGTGTCTCACATGACCAGTGGTATGTACGGTGTTTGAGAGCCCTCCCTTAATTCTAGAACAGGCTGGGGGTTCCACACAGCATTCCCCACACGTAGTTGGTAGTTGGTGGCTTTTCTCCTGATGGGGCAACTTTCTTTGCAATTACAAAATCCTTTTTTTATTTTTTGTTTTCCGATTTCCTGCCCAAAATAGGGAGCTTATTTTAAAATAGTAATTAAGGAGCCTGTTACAGTTTCTCCTGGACTGACTTTCATTGAAAGAAAACCCCTACCATTTCAGAATGAGATGCCCTTGCAGATCTCATTTAAATTGTTTAGATTTAAGTCCACAGTGAACTATTTCAGCAAATTCGCACCAGGACAGGGATGAATAAATAGCATTTTTCAAATTAGTTACCAGATAGGAAGATGTGTTCCAGTGACTATTTTTTTTTATTGTTATTATTATTACTATAACCTGTCTCCTCTATTACATAAGAAATAATACATTTAAAAAAAAAGAAAATCCAGTATCTTTTTTTCTTTACTTGATGGGGGTGGTGTGGTGAGAGGAAAGAGAAGCCTTCAGGTACCTGATGTGCTCTTGAACCATAGCACCCCCTCCCCCATGAGAACTTCCTGTCCCTTGACACCTCGTTTTTCTGTTGGTTTCCCCGTCAGGTACATGTTATAGAGTCTAATTCTTTAGACTTTTGCGGCAAGATTAAAATACATGTGTATATTTGCTTTTCAGCAGTTTAACTCATAGTCAGGTTATGTGAACAGTTCTCTGGGGCTCAGTTTCTCATTGATTAAAAAATAGGGTGATGCCTGGCTCTCAAGGTCATTGTGAGGGTTACATGAAATCGTAATAATTCACGTACAAGTGTTGAACAGTGTCTCCCATGTATTTTAGTACTTGGTAAATGTTTGTTTTTAAAAAAATCATAAGACAGGCAGAAGATGGCTCTAAGGGCCAGTGACCTGTTATATCCAAAACCAAGGGAAGCTCCTAGCCTGGCCTGTTTCCTCCGTTCTTGCCAGGATCGTACATTTATGCTTCTAGCAGGCTCATCGTGGCCTGGAGCAGACACAGCTTAGTCCATCTTTGATACATTGAGAGAGGTTTGCAGTCATCTTTCTGATCCCCTCCCTCTGCTCTCTCCCCTCCTGCCCCCAGCCCTCTGCGTACAGAAGAGCTTTAATGAAGTATGGTAGAACCAGTGTAAACACCGGGCCTCCCACTAGTGTGTATTAGTCGCAAAGTCAAGTGGCTCCTTCGGCGCCAGTTGTTTGGGGAGGAGCAAGCGAACAAAGACGCGCTGTGTCTGCCTCCCCGCGTTCCCGGCAGGAACACCGTGGAGAAGCACTCGCGCTGTGGCCGCTGTCCTGCGTGTATAAACAGCCCCGCAACTTGCTCATGCTTTATTCTCCTTTCTCCCAAAAGAACAGTTTGGGGAGCAAAGGAAGAACCTGGGTTATATTTGTGTAGGACAGCGCCAGGAAGCAGCACTTGGCCCGAGGCCCTTCAGGGTGCACAGCTGGCCTGTGGTTTGCATTTTCCTCTTTGCTCGCTCCCTGGGGATTGCCCGGGGCCCCCCGCTTGGCGGTGCCTGTTTCAGTTCTAGGGCGACCACTGGTACTTGTCTCTGCAGCCATAACTTTTGGGAAAGTTCGCTGCCTTTCCATCCAGCCCACACCGCAGGAAGCATGTGAAGACACACTGCAGTTCGATAGGCAGTGACCGGACCCGGTTCCCGGCCTGAGAGGCCGAGCATCTGTCCCGTGGCCACCGCTTACCCGAGAGAGACTCTGGCTCGTCACTTTCCCACCCGAAGCATCTCCTTTTGAGTAGATACCAAGGTGTTTTCTTCCCCTCACCTTCTGAAATTCTGTTGTTCATCTTTTCACTTTAGGGGAGGAAAATATTTTGGGAGGAAAAAAAAAACCAAACTGCCTCTGGAGTTCTCTGGTCCCCCTGCCCCGAGGCAGGTCTGGAAACCTGGTTGAGCCCTCTCCCCGGAGGTCACGGGAGCCCTGGGTTAGTCCCGCCCCTTCTCGGGAGAAGTCTGCTCAGGGAACAGCTCTCGGCTCAGGGAACAGCTCTCGGTTACCTGGTTTATGCTTCAAAGCAGCAGCTCCCACTTCAAAGGAAGATGCTTTAAAGCGCATTCCTGGGTGAAAACCTCTACTCGATGCAGTCGCAGGAAAGGGGGGGGGTGGGGGTGGAAGCTGATGGAAAGCCAAAAGGTGGAAAGCCAGTTCGGTGTTGGAAATCCGGTTTTGGAAATGGCAGGCTGCCTGGGGGTAGGGGGTAAGTGCAGGAATGAGGTGTGAGGGGGATGGGGTGTGGTTAGGAAACAATGACCTGCATTGTTTGCCCTGGAAGACTATGGTCTATTTTCAATGACAGTGGTTCAAATTATTGTAAACATTTTTAAAAAGATGAAGGAACATTAAATATGGTACTGTTCTTCACCATTGAAGTAATGGTGAAACATTAAAAATAGTACCTGGGGAAGCCAGCTCTGCCTGCTTTGGAATCATTCTGCTTCAGCAAAGGAACTTAGAGACTTGGGGTCTTTGTCCTCGTCAGTTAGGAAGTGAGTTTCTAGCCTGCCTGAGGCAGAGCAAGCTGGGCAGCACTAAGGAGGTATTTGCTTCACTTACATCACTTAGTGGAAGTTGTATTGGCTCCTCTGAAGACTTTGCTCTCCAGGTCATTTAATTGAAGTTCACGTTTTGTGGACTTAGCTTTGCCCTGTGGAAAGTTGTACAATCTATTTTCCTAGGTCAGGCCTTGTTATACTGTGATTCTCAGTAGCCGTGGTGTGTTGAAATCTGCAGGCTTTCAAATGAACTTCTGATGAATCAGTACACGATCCTTTAAGTGGAACTCCTATTTCTAGCAGCTGACCTACATTTTCATAGGCTAGTAAAATTCTCTTCTCCCAGTGACCCTCTGGAAAATGGCAGGACTCATCAATGGAAAGACCTCTTACGGTCTAGGTCTATGCAAGTGAAGGAAGGACCCCAATGAGGAATGTGCCCGAGGGTGTTCTTGTTGGGCTCCCGGCAGCCCTGTGAGGCAGCTGTTGTGGAGACGGGGTCACAGTCAGGTTTGGGCTGCAGCTGGGATCCCCTCTGTCCCTTAGGGCCTCCTTGCTCTCTGCCTTTTGGATGGACTCTAGCCACTTTGTTCCCTGAGCCTTTTCTGGTGGGGCCGAGTTTCAGGAGAGACAGGGTACGTCCATTTACAGAGAAGCGGTGTAAGTTACTTTAACACGGTCACTGGTTGAGTAATCTTACTTTCTTGACTAGGTGTGGTGTCATTACTCAGGCCCATGATCCCTGGAGCTTGCTTTTTCAGCTCTTCACTCCCCAAAGTGACCAGGAGTAGCTCTCATCCCCTTTTCTTCCTCCCGCGGTGCTGAGACCGGGACAGGTTACTGCTGATTTGAATGGTTTGACTTTGGTGGGAGGTGAGCGCAGATGGGCCTTGATCCATGAGGCCAGGCCAGCACCTGTCCAGGGTGCAGGAGCCACCAGCAGAAGGCTAGGGGCCTCGGGTTCTAATTAAGGACTTGAGACATGGAGCACCTACTTGTCACGGGGCAGCCCTCAGGGACGGAGGAGTGGCCGACGCAGGTGCAGCGCAGGCCAGGAGCCCCGCAGGTCCCAGGGCCCCTCTGCCCCTGTCGTTTGCAGTCCTGTCGCTTTTCCGCTTCAGATGTGGCCTCAGTGTCCACGTGACTGTCTTCGGGAACGTCCAGTCCCAGCGCTAACCCTCGTGTCCTGCCTCGCAGATCGGCGCCAGTGGTGCGCCATCGCCGTCCTCTTCGCGGTCCTGCTGGTCGTGCTGCTCCTCTTCTTAGTGCTGTGACGCAGGGACCGGGGCACAGGCCGCCCACGCGGTGCCGGCTCGCCTGCCTCCTGAGAACACGGCCGCCGGACTTCTGGGACCGCGCCGGGAGGCAGCGCCTCCGCCCCGCGCTGGCGGGGCGCGTGGGAAGGGGACGTGCCCGCTGCACGCTCCTGGCTCCGCCTGTCCTGACGACAGCTCGCCCCTGCTCTGCCGCCCTGGACCTGTCCGCGCAGGGCCTCCCGGGGTCCCGGGAATCCGCAGACTCGCCTCGTGTCCGCTGTCGCCATGGCACCCCTCGGGGTCGTTCCTCCTGCTCCGACCCTCTCCCTGCTCCGACGGCGGTGCCGCCCGACCCGAAGGACCCTGGGCTGCTCCACTGCCCTCGTGGGAGCGTCCTGCAGCCCGAGAGCTGGCCCTATGGGGACGGAGGCCCAGGAGCAGTTTGTGACAGAAACGCATGGTTCTTTTTGCTGGGAGAAAATTGCTCTCCCAGGCACCCCTTTCTGTGGTAAGAACGAGTGGGAACCGATGAGAAGCCCTGGGCTTCGGGAGTGCTGGCGACCTGTCTGGAGTTGAAGGGAGGAAGGGCTTGGGGGTCACTGCCTGGCTGAACTCAGGTGGCTGGCCCGCAGCCTCCTCCCCAGCGGTGCATCTTGCATTTTCGGCTGCTGTGCGGCACCGTGAATGGATTTAGACCCTGCGGCTCCCTCTCCCTGGGCAGGACCGGGTTGGGAAGGGTTAGCACATCGATTACATTTAGTCAGAAACTGGAATGGCAAGAGCCTAGCTCTGCACCAGGCTGCTCTTGCCCTGTGAATAATGGCAAAAAGGGGTAGATGAACTGGTTTGCTTTTCTCCCCCCAAGGTGACAACTTGATTTTTATCACCCACTCCAGTCACTGAGCCAATCCAAATTTAAGTAACACTCGCTCCCCTTGAGTTTGAGTTGCCGAGACACTAAACTTCAAGCTTCCGGCGACTCTGTAAATGCTTCCGACATGCACGTGTGTATAGATAGGGTGTTGTTACAGCCACCCCAGTGCCGACGCAGCAGCCGGACGGTCCGGGTCAGCCTGGCGGCCAGGCCGCGTCTCCCATCCTCCTTTGCACGTGGAAAGCGCAGTGACCCCGGGGTGGAGTTTTAGGTTTGACTTCATCGCCTCCTCTTTTGGGGCCCATCCCTAACTTTTTCACTTTTTGTTCTTGTTCTGTCTGTATTTCTTGGTTTTTATTTTGTTTGGGGCTTTTATTCCTTTTCCCTTTTTCTTTCTTTGGTGATTTGCAATGCTGTACTTGCCCAGCTAACTTTTGAATAGCACTTTTTAATAAATGTTTGTAACAATTTTTTAAAGAAGGGTATTTTCTCATGTGTAGGGTGGTGGTCGGTAAGGCATCTGCATGCTGAGCTCATGTTCACACTCAGCCCCATATGATATATAAACAAGTTCATTTCTTTTCAAAAAAAGGTAATTATCACAAAGGGCTTCAGAGGTAGCGTACTAGATTATTTGTTGTACAAAGTTTGGAGACATTCAAATAGTCTTCTGTAAACTTGGAACAGGGATGGTCCTTAGATTTGCATTCAAACGTACGAGTCTGTGCAAACTGCTAGGACGTGGGCCTTGTCTTAGTGCTCTCGGCCACACGAACACCCGAGTCTGGATTCCCGGCTGCCCTGCGAGAGCCGTGCTGTCTGCTCTTACCAGATCGCTGCGCCCAGGAACCGCGCGTGGCAGGAGGGCCTGTGGGAACACCCCTGACCTTTAACGAGTAGCTGCCCTGACTGCAGGGACCAAGCTGTGACCCCGAGGTGAAGTGCTCCACGTTTGGGTGTGTTCAGAATCGGCTTGCTGACCTCACCCATTGCGGGTGTCCGCTGAACAGTGGCTACTGGAGAGCAGACTCGGGCTGGAGCCGAACAGAGGGAATGTTTACTGAGAATAGGGGCACCGCGTACACTCCCGCTGCAGGGCCTCCGCTCTCCACAGCGTGAAGGCGCTGCTCTTCGACAGCCGGCCTCTTACTGGCTCCGAGCTGGCTCTGCCCAGCCATCACCTCTGGCCCCAATGGCTTGATCTCGGGCCTGAGCCTGTGGTGCTGGGCAGGACAGTCACTACAGACAAGTGGTCATCTGGAGGCCCTACGCCAGACTCCAAGCTGGCGATCCGAGAGGACAAGCCAGGGCCGAGGTGAGGTGAGGCTCCTGCAGTCCTCACGCTTCGTCCCGCGCCCCTCTAGAGAGCTGGTAGAAGAGCCTGGATAACAGAAAGAGCTGTTTGTTTATGGGAAAAGCATTTTACAAATCAGCTGACTTGGGGGTAGAGTAGGGGTGAACCACTGGGGGAGTTTGCCAGAGTGGGAGCCCACCTGCAAAACCGGATCCATTAGTTTCCAGTCGAATGTTCGATCTGTCTGTGTGGACTATGGACAGTCCCAGGGCCCCTGTGCCGCTCCGTGTGGCGGTGGTGTGTTACATGAGCATCTTCACGCCAGAGGGGGAGGAGCTTGGTAACCTGCCCATTATTCTCTGCTTTTAGCCAGAGTTAAACAGACTGATGGGTCTGGGAGCCAACGACTTGGCAGCATCCCTCCTTCTCACCTCGTAGATGAAGGGCTGTGAAGAGAAACCCAATCTAACTCCAACAGAAGTCTGTCTCTGTTAAGTGCGGTACCTTCTGCATGGGAAGGTGGCAGAGCCAGGATTTCTCCTGGTAATTTTCCTGGCTGTCAAGTGAGACCGTTACCTTTCCAGAGAATTCATAGCATTGGAAGATCTAAATACTAAATGATAGATATGAGTTGCTCTTCAGCTCTGTGGACTTTGAACTGTTCAGCTCTACCTTGTAAACTGCGGGACGAGTTGGTAAGCACCAAATCCAGGCCGTCCGGAAGGCTGAGGTTCTAGCTGGAATGCACCACCTGCAATTCTCCCTCTGCTTCCTCCCCTGGCGTTTTGTTCCCTCCCAGATATTTTAAGAATTTTTTTTCTTAAAGAGTGTTCTTTGTTCATCAAGAGCAGAGAGAAGTTGCAACCAAAGGATTTGCAGACTTTCAGCCCCCCAGTCCCTCCACGCCGCCCCTGACCAAGGTCTGGTCTCGAAGACAGTGCCCCATGGGAAGATGCTGGGAGGCCGTCAGAGGCTCTGCCCGGGGCCTCTGCTCCTGTGTGAGGGCACCTGGCTGCCAGGAGAGCAGGTGGTCTTCCTGTAGTGGCCGCTGTCCTTACCCAGCTCCCAGTCTTCCCAAAATATACGCCTATGCTTAAAATAAGGAGGCCCTGTCCTTGCGAGGCCTGTCATTGTCACCGTGCTCACTAGTGCTCCCTGGGAAGCTGCCGTCTAGGGTCGAGTCCAGACATCGAGAGAAGAGAGCAGCCCTGCTCTGCCCTCTGAGTCTGAAGCCTGGTCTGGGGCTGAAACTCCCAACCAGCTGACGTCTGGGGTTGGTGTTGCAGGAGGCTCCGTGGGCTTATCCTTGTTTTAAAGATGAAACGATTACAGCTACCGGAAGAGACACAGGAGTCGGTTGGTGTGTTGCAATGCAGCCTGGACTTGGCCCAGGGGCCCGCAGGCTCTGGGCAGGCCGACCTCAGCGACATGCTTCAGCTAGGCTGGTAGTGACTTGTGGTCGCCCCTGCTGTTTGACGCTGTCTGCTGAGGGACAAACGCCGAAGCTCAGAAAGCCGCACCGCAGCCAGGTGCTGCCATCCACATATGCACGGGAGTTCTCTGCGTCAGGGTGACAAGACAGAGGTTTGGGGAGGTGGGTGTGTCCCTCTGACATACGCTCATGTGTTGGTGCTGTTTTCCTTCTGACGTGACCTTTGCCCTTCCCGAGGCTGTGCCGTGGGAGCTGCACCCAGACCCGCCCTCCTGCTTGGCTTCCACGTGGACATTGCACGGAGCAGGTTTGCCCGCGGCAGCCAGACCCCTGTGAGAAAGTATTATACCATTAAGATCATGAGTTTTCAAACCCAGAAGCCACATGATTCAGGGGGCATTAGATACCAGACCACCCAGCATCGCTGTTCTCCAGCCAAGCTCTCTGTCAGCCCTGGGGTGGGGCCGAGTTCAAGGTGGCTCCTTCGTGCTCTGCCGAAAGTCGGTTTAGCCGGGACCCACTACTGAATGGCCGTTTCGATCCCACAGTTAAGGTCTGTTCTGGGAGAGGCAGATGTCCTGATACTCAGGAATAGAGTGTGCCCTGTCGTCTGTGCAGGGTAAGGAGAGGCCAGTCAGCTGTCCCGAGTAAGGTGTCGCTAATAAGCCACTGGAACTGCTTGTAAATGCCTTGTGCTTGTGTCCTAAGTGAGCCAGGCTGGGAGACTGCCCAGGGTGGTCTCCTGGAAGCCAGGGAGGGGCCAGAGAGAGCAAGCTGTAAATTATTATGGACTCATTTTTGTGAGAATACACTTTCACTGGCTCACGTTACTAGAAATTAGTGTGATTTAAAAATAGAACGTGTAATAGTGGCAATGGGCACAGGACTAAACCGTCGTATTTTTCTCGTGAGGATCAATAACCTTATAGCATCTTATTTTTAAATAACTAGAAGGTACAAAAAGAGTGAGATGAAGGATTAGAACTGAAAAAGGCCTGGGTGATTTCCAGATGGCAGGGAGGGGCGCCCCCCTGCCCAGAGAGCACCAGAGCCCGATGCCAGGTGTGTACAGCGCCGGTCACAGGCAGATGGACCGCTCTCCTCCACACGGGGGTCTCCAGGGGTGCTGTGGGAGCCGCATCCCCTGGGAACCTGCTGAGTCAGACTGGGAGGTGGGCCAGCGGGCTGTTCGCCGAGACCCTCTGCGGGTTCTGAGTCCCACTCCAGCTTGAGAACCACCAATACCCATCCCTGCAAACGAAACCATAGTCCACAGCGTTGGTTGTAACCCTGACATCGAACAAGATGTGATAACCCTATAAACTTGAAAAAAAATTTTTTTAATACTTGTGTAAAATAAAACCTCAACTAGCCCTCCTTCAAAGTGATATTTTTACACCCTGAAGTCTATCGGCAATGTTTCTTTCTTCTGCTCTTGAAGTCGTGTTACGAATGTATAAAGAATTCTATTCAGTATTAAAGAGAAATGGAGAGACCATGAGCTTTGTCCTGGGTTGCTTTGTTTTGTTTTTTAAGTTTGGTCGGTTTTTGTTTTCATTCTCTTCATGTCTGAACGCGCGCCCTCCCTGCCTTCTGCCCCGCGTGGGCGTGGGCGTGGGCCTGGCGGAGGGAAGGCCTCTGGCTGCCGAGGGTCTGAAGGCTCGACTGCGTTCTCTGGCCGAGGGGGTGTGTGGATTCTCAGGTCCCCCAGTGATGATACCCTACTGAGAACATTATACAGCTGTTTCGGCTGGGACTAGAGGCCTGGGAGCGGAGACTAGAACGCAGGAGGAGGTGAGGGAGGCCTCCTCCCCGCGCTGAACGCTGGCGGACACTGCCGGCCACAGAGCCCGCCCCCAGTTCTGTGTGGGAGGAGGGGAGGAGGTCCACAAGCTGCCTGAGGGCAGCATCTTCAACCCATTTGCCACCACTGTCCTCACTGGGTAACTGAGCACCTGCTGTGATGTGCCAGGCAGGTCTTTGACCAAGGCTTAGAGACCTGATGGGGAGCAAAACCCGGGTTTAATTCTCACAACTCCCCGAGGGAAACACTGCCGAGGCCCAGTTTATTCCTGAAAACTGAGGCATGGAGCAATTAAGAGAGATGTGCCCAAGGATACAGCTAATAAGTGGTCAAACGGGAATCCAGGACCGATTGGACCATTATACTACCTCCCTTATAAGAAAAAAAGGTGCCACTTCAGTGGTGGCAAGCGGTGTCCCTGAGCTGTCTCTAACCAGAGCGATGGGGAAGGAAAGCTCGGGAGAGGAGGAGGGTCCAGGGAGCTGTGGTGCAAGGCCGCGCTGAGTCGCGCATGAACTAGCAGTGCCCAAGACACGCGTGGACACCAGCTCCCATGTCCACGCCTCACGCCCTACAAACCCACAGTGGAGTTCAAGAGATCTGGTCAAGGATCTCGGGCAGGTCAGCCTTGATAAAATACAGGGTTAGGCAAAAGTAGGCTTACAGCTGTTTGTATGGAAAAAGACATGAGGTCGTATTATTAACTCAAAACAATGTTACAATGCAACTGTAAGCCTACTTTTGCCCACCCCTGTATTTGGGGGGTTTTGTTTATTTGGTTGGAAATGTGTACAAAAAATAAGTCAAACACATAGAAACTCAGGAAAGCCTGAGGAGACCAGGATGAGAAGCAAAGTTGTGGCATCCGAACACTGCTGTGGGCTTGCAAGCCTGCCAACATTCCTTGTTCCCGAGATGACACCAGAGCTGGGTGGAGGCTGGTGAGCCTGCGGCTGGCTCTTCTGGGAAGATGTTCTGCTCAGCAGGTGGAGTCGGGCCTCCTGCCTGGGGCTCCCACTGTAGCCTTTGGCACACTGGTCTGTCTCCACCAGGGGAGATGGGCTTCCCAAGGGCAAGGCAGGCCTCTCCCCAGTACCCGGCACCTGGCCAGACCCCGAAGGGCAGCGCCACACTGTGAGTAGGGGCCTGAGCCCAGATTGCAGAAGGACAAGACAAAGGCAGGCCCAGCAGGCAGCCCCACATCCGCAGGAGAGCCCGATACCCTCCAGGCCTGGCAGGGCGGCGAAGGCCTGGCTCCATAGGCAGATGTCAGAGCAATCCCAGCAGCCCCGCCTCCTTGGGGCCCAGCACTCGGTGACCTGGTCAAACCCACAGCCTGAGAGAGCTGGGCAGTTTCTTGCCAAGGAAGGCTGCTGCCATGTCTGAGCAGGCGCTCTGGCTCTACAGGAAAGATGGAAACTTCAGAGGATGGGAGGGGAGGAGGGGGGTCCAGTGACGGCAGGGTCTTTGAATAGCTCCACAGCCAGCCTGGGGGTTTGGGTGGAAAGTGGGTTGGGCAGATGGACTCGGGCAATCCAGTTGTCACCGGTAAGTTTGGTGCAGGACAAACAAGCAATTCTATGTTCAAAGAACCACAACAAAGAGCCCTGGGTACCAGATTCTATGGGAGCTAAGAGGTGGGGCCAAGGTCAGCACCCAGGTGTCAGGTGGAGCTTCCCAGGGCAGGCACCTCATATGTTTGAAGGCTGCCAGGGGATCCATAAGTGGACAAGGAGAAGGGTGGTTCTAGCAAAGGCACGGAATAAGCTAAGCAAATGGGTGGGTGAATTTTTGGAGTTGGGGTGTCCCCAGATCAGGGAACCAATATAACCCAGCTCCTGCCAATGAATAGATACCCAGGTGGGAATCCTGTTGCCTGGAGGCCAGTTTGGAGAACCAGGAAGTCTGGTCATTGCACTCCCGGGATAGGAGCCTCCTCTTGGCAACATGAGGTAAGATAAGGATGCCTCCTTCCCAGGGGCCAGGCGCACTCTGCCCAGGTGCCAGGCCGGGAAGGTTTTGGTAGCTCCCAGCCGGCAGCTCACACCCTAGGAACCAGCAGGGGCCACATGGAGGGACCACACTGCCTTCACCCTGCCTGCCTTAGCTCCAGGGCGAGTTCTTTACTGCCCTCCAGTGCAGGGCCTTTAATGACACTAAATTACAACTCAGGACACACACCTGGAAGAAGGGTTTCCCCAAGCAAAACCTACTGTGGCCTTGTGGGAAGCATTTTTTTTAAAAATTCTGGTCTTGACCTACAAGACAGCTTCTGTGACCCACAAGTGGGTTACGCCTATAGCTCAGAAACACTCTGGAAAGGGAGCTGCCCGCCCTTTGATGGGCAGTTGGGAACGCCAACCCCATTCCCTCCAGGAAAACCTAAGCGAAGCCCCTACACCCTCCTGAGTGGAGGTCAGTGTGGGGGCCATGGGTGTTGGTCAGGGGTGACCAGGCTGTCGCTCTGCCTGCAGTCTGTGCTGGTGGAGGAGGTGCCTGAGGGCCTCCCAGTGAGGTGACTTCCACAGGGTCCCGGTAGGACGGATGGACGTAGGCTAGTAGTTCAAGGTCTGGTTCAAGTCCTGCCTCTGCTAATTACTTGCTGTGTGACCTTGGATAAGTAACTTACCCTTTGAGTTTATGGCTTCTAATTTATAACGCGGAGATAAGTGGCCCCTCCCTTGCAAAAGTGCCTTAAGGATTCAGGCTTGTGTCCTGAATGTCCCCACCAGAGCTCTGGAATATGAGGCGCACACAGCAGACAGCGCGGTGCCTGCACGTGCCCGAATTCCCAGGTTAACCTTGTTTCCCAAATTCCAGCCGCGCGTGCGGTTCCTCCCGCGCGAGACCTCGGGACACCGCCCGCACCCGGTTCCTACCCCTGCGCCCCTCACCGCCCCCACACACGGGCGGGTGCCCCTCCCACCAGCTCTGACTTCGTCCCCTGGCCGCTCTGCGCGCCGCCTTTGTCACCAGACGCTGTCGCCCTTACGTTCCCGCCCCGCGCGATCCTCGAGGACAAGGTCAGAGTGTCTCCATCCCAGCCTCCAAGCACAGTGCCTTGCGCGTAGGCAGTGGGGCGGGTAAACCTTACCCTCCACCCCCAGGAACCCAGGCCCAGGTCCTCAGGCTCGGGCCATGCGGCTGCCTGGCCGTCCTGGCGGGCAGGGCACCCGGGGTCCACCTCCCGCCTCCGCGGCGGCGAGGGAGGGCGGCCGGAGAAGCAGCGGGGAGCGGCAGGCGCGACGACCCAGGCCGGCAAGGCCGGTACCGCCCCGGTGGCCGCGTGGCTGGGACCGCGCAGTCCGACGCAGAGCCCGGACCCGCAGCACCGCCCTGCCCCTGTCCTGACTTGCAGGCGACACCGCAGCGCAGCCAAGCCTCGCGCAGAGGGTGTGGACTGGAGCGAGCCGGTGGGCCTAGGGCGGTTACCGGCGCACAGTCACTGGCTCGCGACAGACCTTGGTCCCCACCTCCCAGGGCACCTGGCACGCGTGGCGCCTGAAGAGGGGACACGCCCCCGAAAACAAGTTAAAACAGGTGTCAGTGGGGGCGCGGCCTGCCCAGGACTGCCCGGCTTCTGCTAGTGGCTTCTGAACTTGCTCCCACCCCGTCATCCTAAGGCTCTTGACCTGTATCATAGCTGAAGTTGGTGCCACTGTCTGTGCTCAGGTGAATCGAGGTCTGGACACACAGAGTACCATTCAACTGTCACGGGGTTGGGGTGGAGGTGGGGCTCAGGTGAGACACAGGAAACAGCCACACCTTCGCACATGCCATTCATTTTCTGTGCCTGACGGTCCTTTCCCTTCCCGTTAGTTCCCACCCATTTTACAAAGCCCTGCGTGGGCGCACCTCCTCACAAGCCTCCTTCCCCCAGCTGATCCCTGACCACTCCCAGGCTCCTTACCCACGTGAGCTGGGCCAGGCGCCACACACCTGGCTTTGTGGTAATGGTTGAGCGTCTCTCCTAGATTCTGCAGCTTGAGGTACAGCCTTTCTCCGCATCCTGACCACCTGCCTGACACAGGGCCAGGGTCCTAGTTCTAAGTGAGGGTTCTGATGGTCCTGTGGGTGATACAAGGCTGGAACCTAGGCAGCAGAGATGGGGACGGTAAGGAGGACATCTGGAGGAACCCAAGTCCCCTCCTACCTAGATAACACATGGCCCTGCCATCGCTTTACCCCAGGAAAGAGTACCCTCTGCCATCATGGATTAAAGCAAGGCAGGTCTACTTCACAGTCCAGACTGCCTCCCCCCTTCTTCCTCCCCTTTATTTCTTCCCCCCTCTTCTCTTCCCCCTTTCCCTTTATCCCTCATCTCCCCCTCCCTTTACCCCCCTTCTGCCCCCCTCCATGCCCTTCTAACAAGCCTTTTTTGGCCTGTAGGGGGCACTGTAGTAGAAAGAGTGGGTCCTGAGTCAAAGGAACCAGGTCTGAACAAACGCCCTGTTATTGTGGGTACAAATGAAGACAATAAACAGGACATTCCCAGCAGACTACTTTAAGGACTAAATAAGATGTGTCAAGAGCCTGGCACCCCATCCCGGGAGGTAATAGATGCAGATGGTCAGAACGCCTTAGAGCCCTTTCCCTGTCCTGTCCCAACTCCCATGCCCCCACCCCCATTTCCATTTCTTCCCAGCTGGGGCTGGAAAGGCAAGGTGTCCTCACTGTAGAGAAAACAGGTGCCTTTGCCCCTAGAAGTTTATTCAACAGGAAATTTCCCCCAAAGTTGCATGACCTTTGTCAACAAGTTTGTTGCTACCAACCTAAAGTGGACAGAAGCACAAAAAGGAGAAACTTCAGATAATGGAATATTCTGCAAAGCAGGGAAACACAACCTCTGCTAGAAACCAAAAGTGGCTTTGCTGAGACAGCATGGAGTCTGCCTTTATAGAAGTTGCCCTACTATCTGATTGGTCCAAGTCTATGCAAATGAGGAATCCAAGTTTGCACAGCCTGATTGGTGCAAATAGCACTGTCCTGATTGGTCAGAATCATGTTCTGATTGGTCATTATGGAGTTACTCTAATTGGTCAATAAAGATGCAAAGGAAGATATTGCTGTGCAGATCTGATTGGACAGGGTAGGTCTCCGCCCATTGGTTGAGATTATGATTCCAGGAACTCCTTTATAAGGTTTGTCCTGTCACCTCAGTCTGTGGCTTTTCTCCGATATGCAGTGTGCATGAGGCCTTTGTAAATAATGGCTGCTAGGCTCTGGTTATGAATTCGGGCCCTGGTAACCACAAGGAGCCCTTTTGGGAAGGTATATTTCTTCTTGGGTCAAGATCTCAAGGCCAGGAATGGGGTTACAGGAGCCACCAGGGTTTCCCCACGCCTGTACTTTCCTGCTATGTGGGGCCATTACTACACTTTGGGGAGCCCCAGTTTGGTCTGTAAGGTGTCCCGGTTCCCTCTCCACACCCTGAAGGCCCACGTACTTGTTCCCTTGGCCCCTCCGCTCACCTGCTAGAGCTGTCCCGTTCTTCCTTCATCTCCCAGCCCAGGTCGGCCCAGCTCCCCACGCTGCCGTGCTGTGGGGTTCTGGGAGCCCCCGTCACCCCTAGTCTGCAGGGCAGTATGAAGGGAACAATCCTGTGCACAATGCCTGGAGCGGGAGAGCACTCGCACTCCCCAGTACTGCTGCCCCTCCCCTCCTCACTTCTCTTAGGCCGGTGCCTCCTTCAGTAAATCTGCTCCCTGAAAGCTGCCTAGCACTCATTTTAACCCAGTTCTGCTGAAGGCTGTGTTTGTCCTTCACCACAGCCTGCACCTGGCCAAGTTCTAAAACAGCCCTGAGCTGCCCACGTCACGCACCCCCCGTCGCACCTATTCAAGGCACCTTAGCTTCCTTTCACCTCCGGCTCATAAACAGACCTTGCCCAGGGCTCCTCTCCCAGCCCAGGGGCTGCCTCTGGAGGCTTCTGCATTCACCCTGTCACCCCAGCCGCAGGTGCGTCCTCACTGCTGTGCCTTTGTCCTCCCTCCTCCTCCCCCACCCCAGGACTCTGCTTATGGACAGTAAAGGTCAAGTGAGTGAGCGAACATCCAGCCCCAAATATAGCAACTCAGGATAGAAGTTTCAGCTTTGCTTTTTAATAAGTTAAAACAGACACATGGTCATCCATTCGCAGAGTCCTAACTCTTTGGGTGGTGTTCAGGCCTCGAGGAGGGAAGCGACCAGGTGGGACAGGCCACCCCCCTGGCCTGTGCTTTGCCATCCCTCTGCTGGCTGACCTACAGCTGCGGTCAGGGAGTTTGCGCAGAGAGCGTGTGGCCGGGGATTCTGGCACCAGCTGCAGCCAGTGTCCAAGTGCAACAGAAGAAGACAGAGGCCCTCTGGGCCAGGCCCTGGTAGCTCCAGCCTTGCTCTGGGAGACGCAGAGGGCAGGGTGGTGGGACAGGGCTGATCAGGCCAGTCTCGTGGGCTACAGCTGCACTTCCCTGAATTCGGCCTCAGTTTCTTTTTTTCCCCTTCAGTCTTATATATCACAAAACATTCTTAATATTCTGGCTACCAGATCACATTTCCTAGATGTTCCCACACCAGATACATGTTCCAAATGTTGGTCAATGTCTGCAAGAGTGTTACCCTAGGACACTTTGGCCCTTTCTGAAAAAAGAACGAAGGTGTGGAATGGGAGCTAGGAGAAGCAAGACTGAAAACGCAGGCTGCAGGCCAGTGTAGCTCAGCCTCTTTGGTTCTGGAGTGTTGGAAGCCGCAGGGACCCCTCACAAGGAGTGGGATGGGACCTGGAGCTGAGACAGTGCTCAGGGACCAACGGAACGATTCGATGACTTTCTCCTCCCTCTGCCGACAAAGGTGCAGGAAGCCGTCGACCCCACCTCAGGCAGAGGCAGCCATATTTTCGTTTCCTTGTTTTGCATAAATTACATCCTTAAATATACAAATAGGCTCCTTCCCTCTCCCTAGCGTGGTCAATCACAGAAGCCTGGCCATGGCCCAGGGCATTCCACACCACCCTTCTCTTCCAAGCAGCTTCGTGAAGTGCCTTCCCGTCACCCCCCACTGGGGTGCCTCCTGGCTTCCGAGGGGGTGACAGTGAGGACCAAAGCACCTCTGAATCACCGTGGGACAGGCCTCTGCCTCAGCACACGGAGTGACAAGCTCTCTGCGTGGGCCAGGAGCTCCTTAACGTGAGCCAATCCCAGCCCTGCGACTTTGGCCCCGTTCACCTCGAGGATCTCATCGCCCACCCCCAGCAGCCCCGAGTACAGCTTGGCCGTGGGCGCATCAGCCATCTCCTGCACGTAGAAGCCTGCAAAGGAAAACAGGAGAATGCAGCAAGTGAAGCTAAAGACATGCAGCTCTGGCATGCTCACAGGTGGGTGCTGTTTGGGGGGGCGGGGGCAGGTGCTCATACAGGGCGCGCACACACACACACACACACACACACACACACACAGAGCCTCATTATTCCCACTCAAAGCCATACTGGCTTTATACATAGATACAGTGTGCCCGTCTCCATAGTACAACTTCATTTTTCCGTCTCCTCTTTGCAAAATGCCTTCAGCTGTAATTATTCACGTATACCCCAGTGTGAATGAGCTGAGCTTAGCTGCTTCTGAGATGAGCTTTAATTGTAGAATAGGGAGGAAAGTGATGTTGAAATCCGAGAAAAAGCCCTACGCCGTGCCTGGCTCTGTGCTGGGCGACACAAACAAGCCCCACTCTGCCCTCGTCGCTGGAGTCTGGGGGCCTCACTGAAGTAGCCGGGGTCCCATCCAAGCCTCATGGCATTTTCTAGAGCGAGCCCTGGCCCCACTCTTCCTCGGCTATGGCTCCTCACTTGGAATTTGGAGGCCTCTGGGCAAAAAAGCCCAGAAACATAAAACCCCTACCCCCATATTTAAAGCCATGGGGCTCGCTTTTCCCTTCTTCACACCCACCCTCCCCCACCACCTTCAAGAGGCCCTGCCTGGCCAGCGGCCCTTTCCCAGGTCTCTGACGTGCAGCGTGAGCCTGGGGAGACCCTACTCCTCCTTCCCTAGGTCCACTTGGGGAACCCACGTGGGTGGGTCAGGCTGTGCAGGGCCTCAGGGCCGCTAGGCCGGGTGTCCCTGGCCCCTGCTGGCCACACAGCGCAGGAAGTGTGGCAGAGGGAGCCCCTCTCACCTAAACTCCTGCCTTTCAAACCCCTTCAGGTGCTTCCATCTGAGAGATAAGAAGAGGGGGGGCTCTTCCAGGGAGATCTGGGGGAGCACAGGTGTCTGAGGCACCAGCCCAGGTCGCTGGAGGAGTGCAGGGGACACACTGTGTGGCTGACAACACCTGCAGAATTCACGGGGACAGCTCAGCGCCACCCCCGCACCTCCCTGCTGCGCACCCAGCTGGCTGGCTCCCTCCACCCTGGAGCCGCCTGTGCATTACTCCCCTCCCCCCCTCCTAGGGTCAGCTTCTTCAGACGGGACTAAAGAGGGCGTCTTGTCCGGTTCCTCACTCTCTGACCTGAAGCCGTTTCACACGTCTTGGACCAGAGGGAAGTGATTCTCTGGCCCACCAGCCCAGCCTCTGGCTCAGTAGCCCCGATTTCCAGAGCCTGCCTCTGAAACACGGGTTGAATGTGCATTGACATCTCCTCCAGACACCTGTAGGTTTGTAGCTCTGGGTTTAGCAAATTCAATCGTTTGACAGTTCCAGGTCCCTGGTCTGAGTGGGGGAGCTCCCTTTAGGTGCTTCTCAGCCACCTGAGCCTTTCCTGCAAGGTGGCCTCCCTCCCGACAGGGACATCTGCCATCCTGACTGCCCGGGCTTCACTCCCAGCCCTGCCCTAGCTCCACCTCTTCTGCCTGAGTGTTTGAACTGCTTGTCTGCATGTTGGGGAAGGCAGGTAAGGATGGGAGGGGTGGAGCCTGCAGAAATGGCTGCTGTGCAGCAGGCCACGAAGTGGGGAGTGTTGAGAAAACCCAGAAGAATGCGGCTAGGGCCAGAGCAGACACTGATGTCATGCCAGCCATTGCGGGGAGACCCGGGGGTAGGTTTCACCTCTGCAAGTCATGACAGAAATATGACAGAGAGTCTGCTATTGTAGGCATTTATTGTCTGCTGGACGTGGCCTTTGTTAAGGATGTATGGTCTCTCTGTCGTTTTAGAAGCAGAAGGCAAAAAGCCTGCTGTTCTCTTATGCTTGTATAGAATCGGATGTGGTAAGTTAGCGCCAGCATCTTGACATTTCAGGGAGGAATGTGAACCAACTCCCGCTCACAGCCCCTCTGAGGCCTAGGAAAAGGGACTCTTGACAGCGGGAGGATGGCCTGGGGCAAGGAGGCCCTGTTCTGCAGGCATGGGGATCTCTGTGACCTCCAGTGACCAGCTGCAGCAGCAGGGGCAGGGCACCGCCTGGGCAGGGCAGGGAAGAGCTCTCACCAACCCAGCTGAAGGGCACCCGGGGGATCAGGCCAGGCCAGAGCCCAAGGAGCCCTTGGGGTACAGACCTCTGCTCCTCAGAACTCCATGACAGGTGATGGGGGCGGGTCCCCCTGCCTGCAAAGGGGCCTAAAGGGCCTTTCGGGGAAGATGGGGGCAGAAGATGGGGGCAGAGTGCACGCCTGGTTGTGTATGATCTCACATCGACAGGTGCTGCTGCTCCCTGTCGGAGTTCTGCTGCCCAAATACACCTCCTTCTGAAGAGGAAAGGGGAGCAAAGCACCAGGCACTTTTCTCTGTAGGGCACCGGATGCTCCTTCTGACTCCCCGGGTCTAGGAGCCAGGATGCAAGTGAAGGGGACTCTGAGGAGCCAGCCCTGAGGGAGGGACGTGGATGCAAGGACTGGCAGGCACACTCTGTGCGCCCATACACCCAGCAGCTGGAGGAGGGGACGTTTAAACACACCGGCCACATCAAAGGGATCGCCTCTGAGAAACAGCAAGCACAAACCATCTCCCTCTGACTCCCCGTGAAAAGCTGGCCTTCAAGATTCTGATTTCAAGAATGTCAGCAGACAGCAGAGGGACACTGGGGTCAAGCCTGCCAAAGAGGCCCTGGGGGGGAACTCCAGCCCTTTTGATAAGAGGCTCTCTGAGTCCAGACCTCCACTGCTCAGCCAAAGACCAGAACAAGCCTCTAACCACAGCCAACAGCACCAGTGTGGTTTATAAGGTCCCCGGGCTGGGGAGCCCAGAAAGCAGAAGGAGTGTACCTGAGTCCCGGCGCCCACTCCCGGACGCCACACAGAAGCCAAAAGTGCCCTCTGGGGAGCGTTGCAGCTGGAGCTGGCTTGTGCCATCTGGGAACACTTCCACCACGCGGCCCACTGTGCGCACCAGGCTGGGGGCCCCCACATCCTCCACACTGAGTGCACGCCGGGGAGGGGCCTTGGCGAACCTGCGAGGGGACAGAAGACAAAGTGAGGGCAAAGAGGGCGGGCACTGGGCTCCAGCCCCTTGGCTCAAAGATGACTGTTGCCTCTCCACCGGCATGAAGAGCCTGCTAGGGCTGAGTCGGCGTGTTCCCGCAGATGTCTGAAGCCCCTCAGACCTGCTACCGAACCAGAAGCCCCCCAGCCCAAGAGCAGTCATTTTTCATCTTTCCAGGTAGCGTTGCAGCAGAGACTTCTCTGATAACCTGATGAAAGCTATAATTTTATATAAAATTTCCAGGAGTTAACAGACACCCTGACGTCCCTCCGTGGAGCTCCAGGTAACAGCAGCTAACCTAGAGGGTCTCGTCTCCAGGTAGAGTCAGGGGTCAAGGGCCTCTTTGGAGGATCCTGTCTCTGAATCTTTCATTTGATCATTAGCTGGGCTAAGGGAGCTCTCTGAACATTCTGATTTCAAGATGTCACCAGGTAGCAGAGGAATGGAGGAGTGAGACCTTCCAAGTCCACCCCTCCAGCACCCCACACCTTCACAGAGCTCAGCAGCACCGGGCATGGCAGTGAGGCGGGGTTCCAAGGCCCCTGTGGCACCTGGGGCTCAGATAACTGGCCTCCCTTTGTCTTACTAGGATCCCAGTCAGGGCCAGCCGCTGAGCGGGAGTTAAGCTTATAGCTCCACTGTCCATTCTGAGTTCGTCCTCCAGAACACTTGTCCACTCGCTCGTTCTTACCTGCCAGATTCACTGTGGTCCCCTGGCTCCCCGACCAGGTACAGGCTGGACCGGTCCACCTTGCCACTCAGCAGAGAATGGAGGTTCTGAAAGGAGGCAGCTTTCTGATGTTGGTGAGAGGGTGACACCTAATGGTAAAGGTCCAATATTGCAGGTGAGAAAACACCTCTGCAGGGCTTGACAGAGAGGACCCCAACAGTGGACCTGAGGGTCCTGTCTCAAAGTCATGGGAGGAGTTTTTGTCATTACTTCAAAGTGCTCAACAGGAATCCAGTAACGTACACCTACACAGGTGATACGGTCTGAAGCTTCAAGCTGTTTTAGTTTCTTTGCTGAAATAACAACTTAGTACTCTAACACTGATTATCTCACTTATTAAGACAAATTTAATTTTCTTAAGAAAAAAAAAGTAAAAGCAAATTAATTACAGAAGAACAATTTTAGAGTTAAAATCTTAAATATTGTTTGGTGATTCTTTAGTATCCCTTTTATGATCAATTACATTAAAACTTTTTTTTTAAATCTAAGTGTGCACCTTAAACCATTGTGAACAAAAAGATGGAGAAGACCAAAGTCCCTCGAGGGTGTCCCCAGCGGTGAGTGTGGGTGGGCACAGGTTCGTTGAAAGCCCTCAATGCAGCTGACTGCTCAGCTGAAAGCATGGACCATGTGCAGGGAAGCAGAACGAGACTTCTTTTGGCTTTGGAGGTTCGGGGACCCTAGAGGAGCTGACACCGAGCGAGACTTGGAGCACGAGCTCTCCAGGGTGCCAGGCGGAAGAAAGAGCAGGTGCAAAGACACGGGCAGACGAGAGAAAGCATGGAGGTCTGGATGACACCTCTGGTCTGGCGGCTAGGCCACCGAGGTGGTGGGAGATGGGCGGAGCAGGCCAGCCCGGCGAGGACCTTACGTGGCCTACTGAGGAGCCCCCACTGATGCTCATTAGAAGAGTTACAAGATGTGATCTGTGCCCAGAAATTGACCCAGTGTGGAGGCCATTCTGAAGGTGGGGGTGGAGACGACAGAGATGGCGACAGGGAGAAGCAGACCTTTAAACAAACATTACAGACATGTGTTACGTCTGCAGTCCACGCTCCAGAGAAGTCAGGCGGGCGGGGCTGATTTGTCTCAGATCGAGAAGGCTCCCTGGGAGAAGTGTTCAACCCAGACCTGAAGGGCAAGCAGGAGCTCCTGGGGAGGAGAACCTTCCGTGCAGGTTCGGAGGCAGAGCCACAGCCACTGGGGATGGCTGGGTGTAGGGACAGGGCCGCTGCCCGCTCGGGAGGGCAAACTGTAGAACAGACCGAGGCAGCATGCGCCCACCCTCTCAGCCCACATGCCCGGTGGCACAGCAGTTGAACAGGAAGTCGCTCACCGTGAGCTATGTCATGAACAGTTCTGGGCCAGACAATTCTTCTTTTATCTTCTTTTTCTAGACCTTGAACATTTCTTTCTACTGCTCAGTCCGCCCTGCACTTGCTCCCACCCTATCTCACTAGCTTACTTTCTCTCTTTGCCCACTTGTGTTACAAAATCTCTATTACACTAACTTCCCTTGAGGGGGTTACAGAGACCAGAGCTCTGAGGGCAACACACCTGGGTGCCCTGGCTCAGATCACAGGGGACACATCTAACTCCACGGGGCCAGTGAATTCCTTGGGCACGGTGCCACTCTAGGCTCTTCTTCCCAGCTTATGGATGCTTTGCTTCTGTTTCTTTGCCTTCTATTCATTCATCCAGCAGATACTTATTGAGCGCCAACCACATACCAAGTACTGTTCCTGGTGCCAGACTGAAATGGAATTTTCATTCAGCCTGAAAATAAAAACTCCAGTACCACGAACCACAATCACCTGCATCCTCTGCTCAGGAGGGGAACAGGGGCCAGAAGAACCCACATAATACCTGGAAACACCTGCAACAGAACAGGGTTTTCAGAAACCTAGTGGAGAGTCAGTGAGCTGCTGTTTGTTTATCCCCCAGCCTGTGGGGAGGGAGAACTCAGCAGGCTGCCCTGCATCCACTCACTCATGCACTCATTCACTCACTCACTCATGCACTCACTCACTCACTCACTCATGCACTCATTCACTCACTCACTCATGCACTCACTCACTCATGCACTCACTCACTCACTCATTCACACGCTCACTCACTCATTCACACACTCGCTCACTCATCCACATACTCACACACTCACACACTCATTCACTCACTCACTCACTCACTCATTCACACACTCGCTCACTCATCCACATACTCACACACTCACACACTCATTCACACACTCACTCATGCACTCATTCACTCACTCACTCATTCACACGCTCACTCATTCATTCACACACTCATTCACACACTCACTCATGCACTCATTCACTCACTCACTCATGCACTCACTCACTCACTCATTCACACGCTCACTCACTCATTCACACACTCGCTCACTCATCCACATACTCACACACTCACACACTCATTCACTCACTCACTCACTCACTCATTCACACACTCGCTCACTCATCCACATACACACTCACACACTCATTCACACACTCACTCATGCACTCATTCACTCACTCACTCACTCATTCACACGCTCACTCATTCATTCACACGCTCACTCATTCATTCACACACTCACTCATTCACTCACTCATTCACACACTCACTCATTCACACACTCGCTCACTCATCCACATACTCACACACTCATTCACACACTCACTCACTCACACACTCACTCATTCACTCATTCATTCACACACTCACTCACTCACACACTCACTCATTCACTCATTCATTCACACACTCACTCATTCACACACTCACTTATCCCTCACTCACTCATTCACACACTCATTCACACACTCACTCACTGTGCATTGTGTCTACTATACTCACCACTGTACTAAATATTGGGAACACAGAGGTCAAGGGGTGATCCCTCAAAGAAGTCACACTGCAGTGAGGGGAGAGACAAATACTATGTACAAGTTCCACCAAGGAGGGAAGCCCAGGATGAGATGGAAACAGAGCACCGGCCCCTCAGTTCCTGAGGAGGCAATGAGCAAAGTGTCCACAGAGGAGTAGACATTAGCAGGAAAAGAAGGTGGGAGAAATGTTTCAGATGAAGGTTCAAAGTTAGTGTGTGGCCTTCGTTACAGAACTTCAAGGTCAAAGACAACTGGGATGGGGTGTTAGAAGGAGAGTGATGAGAGAAGAAAGCAGTCGGATCAGAAACCCTCTGGCAATGTCAAGTGAGCTGAACTTTATCCTGAGGGTGATACGGGACCGATGGCCTGTGCGAAGCCAGGGAGTGGCAGGGCCAGATTTGCTCTCAGAAGGACATTCTGGAAGCCAGTGGAGACATGGCAGGGCTGCCAATCAGAAGGTTGCTGAAGTAATCCAGGCGTGAAGTCATTTGTGCTAGACTAGGAGTCACTCTGGCCATGAAGAAGGTTCTAGAACGACCTTCTAGACTCCAGGTCTTGGCAGTAGTGACAGAGTTGAGGGAGAGGGAAAGGAAGGAGTTTAGGATGAGCCCAGGCCAGGCAGCTGGTGGGGAAGTGTGGGGTGCTGCTACCCCCACTGTGCCCTGGGGACCCAAGTCTCAGGGGTCAACTGGGGAGACAGGAGCCTCCCCTTCCCCAGCTCGGCCTCCTTGGCAGCCTCCTCGGCACTCCGTTTCTCCGTTCACCATCCATTGCAGTGGTGGCTGCACCACCGCTGGCCTCACACAGCCGTTGGCTGGGCCCTGAGGACTCACCAGATGCAGGGATTGTAACGATGGGGCCCTCTTCACTTTGGGGGTGCTGGCGTGTGAAGCCGGGCCAGGCGCAGGGGGCTGCAGCTGTTCCACACTGTAGCTGCGGGACTTGCCCAGCTTGGGCCGTGTGCCCTGGCCCAGGGCCAGGAAGAACTTTTTCAGCCCCAGGGTGGTGGTGCTGCCGCTGGTTTTCTTGTTCCTGTCAGGAGGGGCAGCTGAGGGCGGGCCGGCTCCTGCACTGACCCCCCGTAGGGCTCTGAAATGCAAGGGCGGACGTGAGGTGGGGGAAGAGGGCTGAGGGGGCGAGGGCGGACTGCACCGCGGGGTCCTGTGGGCCCCAGAAGGAGGAAGTGACAGCCAGGCTGCAGAAAGAAGGGCCCGGTGGCCTTCTACAGGGTACTCTGTGCGGTAGCGCTTAGGGAGAACAGCTCAGACAAGACTCTGTGTCACACAACTGTGGGTTCGCCCAGTCATTCATCCATCTGCTCACTCTCTGTTCTTAAGAACCTCTTCTCGGCCTCTCATAGGGGACATGTGGCAAATGACCAGAGTAAGTGGTAAACAGACGGACAAGGGCCTTCCTCTCGGGGGCTCATGAACAGCAGGCGAGGGAACAAAGGAGAGAAAGCACCAGTGTCTGCAGAGTAGGCTGAAGCAGAGTGACAGGGAAGCCAGGAAGGCCTCTCGGAGGAGGTGATGTTTAAACTGAGAGTTGAGTGGCAAGAAGAAGTCAGCCCGCCGAGCCCAGAGGGGAGAGTTCCAGAAGAAACCACAGGGGCGGGAGGAGGCTCGGTGCAGGCAAGATCACAGGGGCCAGGCATTAGGGCTTGGGCGTCCTGAGCAAGGGCAGGGGCACCCGGCAAGTCAGGCAGGCCGGCCGGGGCCAGATTACACTGAGCACGTAGACCAAAGTAAGAGGTTCTATTCTATTCCAAGCTAAAGGAAAAACCATGCGACGTTTTAAGTAGGAGAAATGACATCCCTTAAAGTTTTCAAAAGATACCTTTGACTATTGTGTGGAGAAGGGACTAGAAGGGTCAAGAGGGATGGCAGAGGGCAGCGGAGAGGACGCCCAGGTCCGGGTGTGAGCACTGTGCGGTGCGGTGTGCGCACCGGACGGGGACCTGGGGCAGCGGTTTTGTTGGAGGTCGAGAATTCAGCAAGGCGCTCAGATGCCCTAGTGGACACGTCAGGGAAACTGGGTGCACAGGTCTGGAGTTTGGGGAGCACACAGGGCTGGAGATGGAGACCTGGCTCTCGGCGGCATGTGAAGCTTGGGTCACGTGTCACCAGGGCTGGTGCAGAGCAGGGAAGAGAAGGCCCTGGCTGGAGGACTGGCTCACCAGGCTTGCGAGAGAATGTTTCCTCAGCATCCGGTTGTCCCCAAGCCCAGGGCCAGGAGCACGTCCTCTCAGGCGGATTGCCCATCCTGGGGTACCCGGAGTGCTGGGGCTGGCTGGCCACTGTGCCCCGCACAGCACCTGGAGCTTGAGGCCATTCCATGAATGTTTGGTGAATGAATGACCCAACACATTAGACTGGAAATGTTTGGGAGAGGAGCACTGGGGGGCGTGGTTAGACGTAAGTCACTCACACTACCGCTCCAGGGGGGCTCTTTCTTCACTTAGTGTCCCCGGTCGCCCACCTCCTACGGTCAGGGCTCTCTTGCTCCCGTCACTCACCGAGATGATACATGCCCTTCGGAACCGGACTCTGTCCTCTGCAGGACTCCCTCTGGTTCCTGGCTGGACTCCGGCTCCTCTAAAGCCAGGGAGAAGGTGACGCCCATGGAGCTGAGGGTGCTAACACCTGCAGAGGTGAGAAAGTCATGGCATCCTCCTGCAACAACCGCACATCCCTCCCGTGTCACTGGCCCACCCGCACAGGGAGGGGACAGTCCCCGCCCAGAGGCAGGAGAGCCAGAGGAAGCGAGAGAGCTCCATGCGGTGAGGTCAATGAAGCAGGGACAGGGTCTGTCTTACTGCTGTTACCCCATCACCCCCAACACAGTACCTGGTACACAGTAGGTGGTTAATTAATGCCTAGTAAATGGAGCAGCTGCTTGTCATCAGTCATGTCCCTCCCATATCAAGAGACATATTTGGGAGCAGGGGAATATTTTGTATTCGCGGGGCATCTGGGATGTGCTAGGCAGTGAGTTAAACCCTCCTCAGAGATTACTTCAAGGGTCCCTAGGAGATAGGTCCTGTTATTACTCAGTTACAGTGCAGGAGCCTGGAGTGCAGAGCGGTTAAGTCACATGCCCAGGACCTCCTGGCTAATGAGAAGAGGAGCTTCACCTGGGCCTCTGCCCCAGGCCCCAGGAGGTGAAGGTGGGGCTGCCCCACAAGGTGAGCAGCTCTCAGAATAGAAGCCGCACAGGAAGTGGTTAGGGGCAGCCAGCCTAGAGCCCACCAGGAAAGGAAACCACACCTTAGCAAGGGCGGAGAGAGCTCAGAATGGGGCCCACTTCCCCCAGGTTCATGTGAGCAAGGGAGGGAGAGGGAAAGTGTGTGTGGGTGTCGGTGTGTGCACGTGTGCGCGCGCAGTGGAGGGGGTGGCCAGCACACAGGATGGGGGAGTCTTGGCATCCTCAGTAAGGTCATCCTCAGTAAGGTCAGTGTGGCCTGTCGTCTGCCTGTCCTCTCCTCCACTTGTCCAAGCCCTAGGTCTCCCCTGAAGCAGCCCAGCTCCAGGGCTGCCGGAGCTGTGGGCACGTGAAAGCAGGCCACGTGGGTGGGCCTCTTCCTTCTGCCCAAAAGTGAATGGCTGCGGTGCTCACCTCCGCTCACATCGGGGATCAGAGCTAAGGCTGCTGACACCCAGGATTTGCCCTCACTATGAGGACCCTTTCTAAGGGCAGAGGTGATATCCCACATCCTTTCCCGCTGAGACACACCAGCCTGCCCAGGGGGTCTGGAAGAGCTCAGGTACAGGAGAGCAACCCCAGGTCCCTGTAAGAGCTTTGCCTGCTGGTCACTGTGTCCTCTGGACAGCATGTCTGCATCTAGCCACAGAAGGTCTCAAAAGCAGGACTTCTGCTGAATTAATTCACTTACACATTCATTCCCCACGGTGTCTAGTATGGTGCTGGCATGTAACAGTCAATGCTGAATGAAGGAGTGAATGAATGAAATGGAGATGCTGAAGGGGCATTTGGCATTTACTACTCTAAGCAAACAGTAAATCCTGGAGTTGCTGCTTCTCCCTGCTCTGCTGATGGTAAAATCCCCTTGCAGCCCAGGCCTCCAGCAGCCACACAGCTGGGAGCTTCTATGCACCCCTCAGGGTTCCCAGAAGTCAGAGCACCAGCACCGCTTCCTCACACTCTGCCTCCCCAGGGGCAGTTGGTTAACCCACCTCCAGGCTGATGCTGAACCCTGCACCCAGCCCACAGACCCTGCCAGCTTCCCTGACACCCGCCATCGATCTGGAGGGCTCCAAGGGGCTGCTGGGAAGGTGTGTGGCTATGTCACCTCTGAGGATGAGCAGTAAGAGAAGGGTGTGTGAGGCCACAGACTTGGCCTGGAGTCTCGGCTCTAGAACTGCCCCAGACCCGCGGCAATCCCTTACCATCTCTGCAGTTCTCCAGGGGTGCCTCGGGCTCCCGGCTGCTGGCATCCTTCTCCACCCTGCCCTCGAGGATGGTGCTTCCCCGGGACTCCTGCAGCCCCCCAGGCACGCCGCTGTTGCAGTTGTTGGTGGAGAGGGCCAGCAGTGGATGCCTGACTTGGCTGCAGGGCTGGGTTGGTGGGGGCATGAGCTCACAGGTCCTGGGAACTACACTTGCGGAAGAAGGCAGGGGAGTGTCCACGGGCTCTCCCTGGTCACCTGGCCTGCGGGGTGCCTTCCTGTGAGACCCAGGTGAAGTGCTTTTCCTGGAAGAAGGAGGAGTTGGCAGCCAGCCTTCTGGGGAAAGGGAAGCAGTTAATTTCGGGGCCTGGTGTGGGGCAGAAGGCTCTGCATGACTCTGTTGCTGGGGGGCAGTTTCCAGAGACTTGTGGCTTTCTAGAACCTGGTCTTGTCTGCCTGGCCCCGGGGATGCCAGCTTTCTGAACGAGGCCTTGGCACAGGTTTTCCCACACAGAGCCCAGGAGTCCACAGGGGGGGCCCAGTGATTTCCCAGTCCTGGTTGCGGCTGCCCCTGGGGCGCCAGGGAGGCCCTCTCCGAGGCCTGCACACAAGGCTGGGAGAAAGGGTCTCCTGGGGGGAACAAAGTCCCCTCACGCGTGTGTCCTCTGCCTTCTTTCACCTCATCTGAAACCTCCAGCAGATCAACCCCAGGCGGGGTCGGAGGGCTCCCCGACAGCTCCCTTTCCACCTTCCGGAACCACCTGTGGCCCCCACGCGGCCTGGAGCCCCGCAGCCGGGGGCTGCTGCCGCGGGCCCTGCTGGGCTGAGAGGCCCCAGCCTCCTCGCTGTCGGTCCTGCAGCTGTCCGAGGTGTCGGTGCTGTCCAGGGCGGAGTCCACCTCCTCCCGGCGCACAGAGTCTCCGATGTGTGTCTCCCGGATTAGCTCGGTGCGGAGCCTCTGTTCGGTGGGGAGGGGCCTGAAGGGGGCGCTCAGGCCCCGAGAGCTAAGGGGTTCTGCCAGCACCCCCTCCAGCCCAGAGGCAGCCTCCCTTTCCCGGAGGACCCCGGGGTCCAGAGCTGTCTTCCCCAGGGCAGGGCGGGGGTCCTCGATGCAGCTCCCGCAGGCTGGGCACATCCTCTCGCTGCCCCGTGTGGGCGGCGGTGCGGAGAAGGCCCTTGGGTCCGGGTGGCCCAGGAGCTTGTGCAGAGCCGCTTCGCCGGCTTCCCTGCGCTGGAGGCCCCCCGCGATGTAGTCGGCAAGGTGGGGCTTGGAGCGCAAGGGGCCCTGGTCCGCCACCTGCAGCACGGAGCTCAGCACCTGGCGCTGCTGCAGCCGGTCCAGGTAGCGGGACTCGGCGTCGCGGGCCGACTCGTCCTCAAAGCGGACGCGGGACGGGGAGGAGCCGCGCTTCGGCCACTGCCCGCTGCTGGACTCCCCACTGGAGGAGTCACTTGTGCTCCCGCCCTGCAGGTTGTCTCTGCAGGCAAAGGGCATCCTCCCGTCCAGGGCGGGGCTCCTCCCGCCATCCCTGATGGGGAGACAGGGGAGAGGTCACAGGCAGAAGTGAGGAGCAAGTACCTGGGGTACTCCGTGGTTAACTGCCACCCCAAAGTTACCCCAAACCAGGTGCCTGGGGAGTCATGCAGCAAACCAGAGCAGCTTAGCCCATCCTGACCCTGGGACACAGCGCTGCGCAGAACGACAGGACGGCGTCCACGGTGCCCGCCCCTCGCTGCCAGCTCAGCCTGAGGTAAGACGAGAACTTATTAAACTCAGGATTGTGCGGAGGGATGACACCAGAGTCCTCGTGCGTGTGCAGAAGAGGACATGAGCCTGGCTGGCGCGTGAATTGTCACAGTGCTGTATTTGTTGTGAGGAGTTCGTGGGAAGAGTGTATTTTATGTCTCGACAGAGACTGTGTGGGACCTGATGTTGGGGTTTCTTGCTCTTGCTCCAGGTAATCATCTTGCTTAGACAAGGCCTAGACAGAGGGACACCGCTGCTCTGGGTGCTCTGGCTTGTCTGGCCCCACACCCCTTCCTTACACCGGCCCTGCCCCGCCCCTTCCACACACTCTCATCCTGAAGAGCTGTGACCAGAATTCTGTGATAGGAAAAGTCTCCGCATTCCGTCATCAACCTCTGCTCTGGGCCACACCGTGCCTGGTGGTCAGGTCCTGCTCCGCTCAAGAAAACATGTACATAAAGCTCACACCAGGGCCCCTGCGGCTGGGTTACCTGTGTCCCAGGTCCACGGGCCATTTTCTGTCAGAGGCCACCTGAGTAAGAACCATACTGAGGGCTCCACCTGCTCCTGGATAGCTTTAGCCTGTCAGGGCCTGAGGGAGGGGCCCTGGGACAACTGCTGGGGGGTCACTGTCCATGTGGGGTTCCCGGGTCAGCTCTCCAGAACATTCTTGTCCAGGAAAGAAAGGCTTTAGACAGAGAAACAGCATCATCTCGCCCACAGAGAAAGAAGGGCGCCCACCGAGCAGAGCCCTGCCCTGCACAGGCAGGACACCGGCTGCCAGGCCGCCCAGGGCAGGAGGGCCACCGGCAGGTTCGGGACCCCGGCTTGGACGCAAGGGTCCCGGAGGGCAATGACCCCTCCGCTGACAGGATGAGAAGAAAAAGCCCAGCTTTAAAGACTACAGTACATTCCTCCCCCAAGAAGGGAGTCTGGGTCCCATCAGCCACATCTCTAACCTTCCCTGATACATACAAGATGGTGAGTTAAGCCATCCTGGAATCAGGCCAAAGGTGGAATTAACATTTTTGTTCCCAAAGGAGAGCTTAACCACATAAGGCACCTTCAGCTCGAGTACTGAAGCCCAGAGGCCGCCACCACAGTGCCGGGACTGCGCAAACCGCGCCGTGAGGATCCGGGAGATGCGGGCAGAGCTCACCGGGCACTTCGGCAGCGAGCGGATACCACCTGCCACGCTCCTCGGGATGACACAGCCAGCGGAAGCCTCAACGTTCCTCTCGGGGAGGACCCATCGGGCTCAGAGCCTGGGGGGAACGGCCCTGGGAAGATGGGAAGGCCCCTTTCTGGAGCCCACTTCCTGCACCAGCGCTGCCCTAAGCACACAGTCAACACCACCCACAGCTCTACGCCCCGCACAGCCAGTCTCTGGCGCAGGACAACGCACTAGGGCGCCACCTCCCAGGCCCTGCGTCTTGCTGCCATGTTCTTCCCTCCTGGGATTAGACTAACAATCCAGGTGTGCCTGTCCCCAAAACAGCAAGGGTGTGTGCCTCCAGGAGCTGCTCCCGGTCTACATTGTGTGTTTCCAGAAAAGGCAGCTACTGCTACTCTTCGCCTCCTGGAAAAGCCTGCCCGCCTGCCTGCCTGCCTGGGCTCCCCCGCCGCCTCCACCAGACCTGGGGTAGGAAGGCCTTCTGGAGACGCTGTGCCTGCCCCACGCTTCCATCGTCTCTCACCAAACTGCTCTTTGGAAGGAGTGATGGCTCTGGGCGGGGGCGGGGGGCGAGCCTGCATCTAACCGAGGCCCAGGGCCCGCGTGGCATCTCCATGTTAACTCAGCATGGCTCTCCAGGGTGATCTGACAAGCGTAACCTTTAGAAGCATCTGTAGCAAGCCATCTGGTGTTGATTTTCAGCTCTACCCTCTGAGGATTCACCAGCGCTGCCAAGTCAAAGTAATTCCTTTCTGGACACAGCAGCTGCTAAAGTGGGTCACCTTGCATTTCTATCGCATTTCTAAGGCCAGGGGACAGCCTGGCAAAGGGGAACATACTTTAAGGTCAGTGACTGGAGTTGCTGTGAGCTGCTGATGTGATTTGGGGAAGAGGAAGCATCCAAGAGTACATTTACACAGTCAAGTCTGTTTTGCAGGTAGATTTGCCTTGTTTGAGGCTACCCAACCCAGCCTATATACCTATGGAAATTGGAACAGGAGGGTTCTCTGGAAGTCTAAGGCTCTGGACCCCATATACATGCAGAAGAGAATAGTTAGGTTACTTCAGAGAAGCCAAGCCCATTCATAACTATTGTCCTCCGGCCAGAGGAGGACAAAGCACAAAATTTGGAGATAAAAGGGTAGCTGTTTGGCACCTGTTGCCAGGGTATGAGGTCTCCTGAGCCCCTCTCTTAAGGGTCACACTGAGACTAAACACAGAGGCAGGCCACAGCCCCCTGCTCATGCTGGAGTCATCTCAATGGTGCTATGAAGGTCCTCAGCCTTTCATGAATGGGTTCAGCATCCTCCATCAAATAGCACGTGGTCCAATTCCACTGAGAAGCCTTGCTCCCTCTAGTGCCACGTGGTGATGCACACAGGCAGGCGTGGCATGCCCATGATGCCAAGGAAGCCACAGGCCTTGTCAACCACACAGAGGGGCCTCTCAGGCCTGGTACAATCTGGCATGGGCTGGCAGGTTCATCTCGGGCCCAGAACTTCCTGTGTAAGTGGCTCCTTGCAGGGTACCCTATAGGGGACAGTCACAATGATGGTGAGGGGGTGTCACTCAAGGAACAGCCACATATGTGAAGGTCTGAACGCCCTTGAACTTGTTCCTGCCTCTTCATCCTCATGCTCATCCACAGCTCCAGCATCCTGGAAACAGGGTAACACCCAGATCTGCAGTTCTGACCTCTCTCGTCCCCTACAGATCCCATATCCTACTGCCTGATAAGTGTCTCCAGTGGGTGTCCATAGCCAACCCCATCCAAAGACTCACCCTGCACCTAGGCTTCACCCCAAACCTTCAGACACCAAGTCAGAACCCTGGACTCCATCCTGGGTTCCCCCTCATACTTCCTGCATCTTGTTAATTACAGTGGTTCCCTCCTTAACTGTGAATTTTCTTTCTATGGCTCCAGTTACCTGCAGTCAACAGCGGTCTGAAAATATTAAATGGGAAATTCCAGAAATAAAGAATTTATAAGTGTTAAACTGCATGCCCTTCTGCATTATGTAATAAAATCTTGCACTGTCCCGTTCCATCCCACCGGGGACGTGAACCATCCCTTTGTCTAGTGTCTCCACACTGCATGTCCTCCCGGCCCATTAGCCACTCAGTAGCCATCTCAGTTAGCAGATCAACTGTGTGGTATCACAGTGCTTGTGTTCAATTAAGCATTATTTTACCTAATAATGGCCCCAAAGAGCAACAGTAGTGACGCTGACTATTTGGATACGCCAAAAAGAAGCTGCAAGGTGCTTCCTCTAAGTGAAGAGGTATGGATGTATAGAGAAAACATAGGATGTACAGGGTTTCGTACTATCCGTGGTTTCAGGCTTCCCCTGGGGGTCTTGGAACATCCTCTGTGGACAAGGGGGGATGGCTGTAGATTACTTTTAAGAGGTAGCACTCAGAGTACTCACTACATGCAGGAGCTATTATACACCCTTTGTTAGCTCGCACAACCCTCCCAGCGACCCTGCAGCACAGGCGCCACTGTAATCCCTATTTTGCAGGTGAGAAAACGAGGCACTGACACTTCCCCAAAGGCACACAGCTGATAAGTGGCAGAGCCAGAATCCAACCCAGTGGTCTGGTTCCGGAGTCTCTTACCACCTCTCTGCTGCCTCCTTAAACCTGCTTGCTTCTGGCTCCCGGCAGTCTCTCGTCTCCGAACCCTCCTCCCCATCACACTGCACCAGGACCATGGCGCAGCCTCCTCACTGCCCCCGGAACCCCTGACCCAACACACCCTTGCAGCCGGGATGGCTTTGCTGAAATGCAAATGTGATCATGCTACCCACGTGCTTAAAACCCTTTGTGGTGCTGCCCGGCCGGTGTGGCTCAGTGGTTGAGCATCGACCCAGGCACCAAGAGGTTGCTGGTTCGATTCCTGGTCAGGGCACATGCCCACGTTACAGGCTTGATCCCCAGCAGGGGGCTTGCAGGAGGCAGCTGACAGACGTTTCTCTCTCATCAGTGTTTCTATCTCTCCCCCTCTCCCTTCCTCTCTCTAAAAAAAAAAACAACCTTTATGGCACCGGCTGTTAGGAGAGACATGCAAATGATTGGCCCGCACGGGGCTCTCTGGCCTTCACGCCATGCACCCAGCATGTCCTCGGGCTCCAGCCTGGCCAAACTTAGCACCGTGCTTCTGCTCGTGGTTTCTGCCTTGGGATGCTCAACCCTGTCTTCCTCCTCTGTCCAGTAAAGATTTATGTCTCTTTCAAGCCTCAACTTATAAGCACCTCCTCTGGAGCCTCCCGTCCCTCCCAGGAGGAGCCACAGATTTCCCACCCGCACCACGTCTCTCCTCTCCTACACCAATCCACAGCCTCGTATTGATTCGTCTGCCTGCCTTTCTACCTAGAGACAGTGACCTCTGTCCCCACAGGGAGCTCAGAGTATGTTTCATTCATCTCTTCAAATGCTCAATGCTTGGCACTCAGTAGGCCCTCAGTAAAGGTATACTGACCAACCAAAAGAATCAAAGCAAGTGCCTGATGTGGGACACGCACACACACACGCACACGGATACAGGAGGGAGGAGTGAACAGAGGCATGTTGGCTGGTTCCCATCTCTTCTCCCGGGCCAGCCTGTCCCAGGCCCCACTCACCGGCCGCCCTGGTCAATGGTGGGCATGATATCATGGCTGGCACGGAGGGGCCGGGTCCTGGCCTTCATGCGGGCACGCTGCAGCAGGTGCTTGGCTTCCTCGTGCCTGGGGCTCCTCAGCACGGGCTCTGGCTTGGGTCCAAAGGTCCTACAGGATGACACACAGACCAGAGCGGCCGGGGGAGGGATTAGAAGAAAATAACACGGATTAGGAGGGCTTTAACAGTGTCTAGCGAGCTATGCGGAAGAACCCTGCATGGCAGCCTTTCTTGTCCAGCTCCCACAGAGGGCATCCGGCCTGGGGCCTGGGGCCTGGGGCCTGGGGCATGGCCCTGAGCTACTCTGGACAGGGCTGCAGAGCTGGCCCACCTTGGACATCTGCTCAGAAACCACAGGCCTAGAGGCCCAGGAGGATCTAGAAAAGGGTAGGGGAGTCGCCAGATTATTCTATTGTTCCTTCCCTAGGCAGACAGCAGGAGTTATCTGGGTGGGGCGGGGGGAGAACAGGGCCTGGGTTGTGGGGCTGGGCCTGTGCCCAGCCAGATGGTCTTTACACGCATCACCTCCCTCTCTCCTTCTGTCTCTTTGCACCCACATATACCCTCTCAAGCCACCCAGCACCTCCCTGAGCTCCCCTCACAGGCACAGGGCCTCTCCCCAGCTCAGCTCTGCTCCTTGGGGGTATGACATTTTCATAAATCCTGGTGTTTTCCTGCCTCAGTCCCAACCCAGACCCATCAGGCATCCGTTGAGAGCTGAGAGAAATTAAGCTGAACCCACACCAAGTCGGCAAATGGCTCGATTTTCATCATAATAAGGCTTCTCACCAGCCCTCACAGGTGCTGCCTCCCCAGTCCAGAGCTGCCGAAAATGACAGCAGCCTTTTCAGTGTGTCACTTCCCAGACAGTGACACAGGCCAGCACGGGGTTGCAGCAGCAGCAGCAGCAGCCCCAGGCCTCCCACGGAGAGGATGTTGCTCTCCATGGAGCTCACGCTCCCAGCCGGGCTGGCCGAGGGCAGGTGTTCTCTCGTTTGACAGACGAGGCTGTTCCGGAGCAGAGAGGCACGCTGGGCTCATTGCTCAAGGTCAGACATCAGCTGAGAGCAGAGCAGACAACAGCCAGCCCCACGGCCTCCAGCACCCTTCCCCCGGCCTCTGGCCCCTTTCCTTCCTGGGTCCCAGGGCAGGGTGCGGATGTTTGTTGCTAGAGTCAGGCATGCTCTTTGGTGTGACTTCAGCATCCGCCGTGGCTGCCCCTGTCCTCCCGGGAGGGTCCTTAGGAAGAAGGCTCTGGCAGGGAGAGGCTCAGCAGCCTTAGAGCTCAGCCTACCCCATTCTTTCCCACCCCCTATGTAACCTAGAGGGGGGCCTCGTGCTGATCCGGGAAAGGTACCGAGTAGTTTCCTAGATGTGAGTGGGGCATCCTTAGACGAGCTCTGGGCAGTCTAGGATTTTTTCTTTTCCTCCCTCCCTCCCTCCCACCCTCCCTCCCTCCCTCCCTCCCACCCTCCCTCCCTTTCCTTCTCTTATTATTTGTACCTAACCGTGCTTTGGGACCCAAGGAAAAAAAGTCCAGCTAGAATAAAGGCACCATCTGTGCTGTGAACCCTGGCAGAGCCCAGGAAGTTCTTGGAACCAGAGGGTGGACCAGAGTGACGCGAAGACGCCTCCAGGCCCCACAGCTCCCTGAGCAGGCAGCTCCTCCGATGCACTGCGGAGAGCAGCCCGCTCCCTGGGGCTCCGCGCCGGCGCAGAGATAATGAGGTTACCAGCCTGCAGAGCCACCCTGCAGCTGCGGGCCTCTGGCTGCCAGCCTGCGCTCGCGGAGCCTTCCGGTGACAGCTGTGGTCCCGGGCTGTCGGAGGGCGTTTGTCACAAGGCCTGGTGGGCAGGCAGGAGGGCCCCAGGCAGCTGGCCAGATGCTGCCCGGCTCGGCCTTGCCCCAGGTTCCTAAGCTGTTCTCCAGCTTCGCTATTTATTTCCTTTCTCTCCCTGAAACTGGAGTGGTTAATTTTTTTTTTTCCCCATCAGCTGCCCTGCTTTGGTTCCTGGCACACAAAAGCTGGTTTCTCCACTGATTAGAAAAGCAGGGCTTTGGGGGAGCCTGGAGGCATCCATGCAGTCCCACGCTGAGCAAGGGGGAGGGGCAGTCACCTTCACAGATGGCAGCCAGGGTCAGCAGGGAGGCACTTCCCAGTCGAGGTGCCGCTGGAGAGGGCGGGCGCTGCCCAGCCCTGGGAAGGGCAGGGGGTCTTTCTCCCGAGAGGGGGCAAGCAGGTGGCCCCGTGGGATGGAGAGCTTGTCCGGCCTAACTGCCCACCGCCTATCACCCACCGTCCTGCTCCCCCACAGGGCGCCAGCCCCAGCAGACAGGTGGGTTCAGATTCTTCCCTCTGAGGGAGAGTTTCAGTCTGATCCCACCCTGGCCTCTGCCATGGGCACACGGCCCTGGAGCCAAAGCCTCCCCGCTGCGCACTATGACCCATCAGCCCGGCCCTCACAGTTCCTGGGAAGTTTCCTGGGAGGGCCGGGCAGTCAGTACAGGGCCAGGTGAAGGCAACTCCACCGAAGAATAGACAGCGCTGCCACTTTCTTGAAGGTCGCACATCTGGGGCTCACCCGCTCAGCAGGTAGGGCACAGGGTCACGTGGCTTTTCCTCCCTGGGCCTCCGTCTCCCCATCTGCTAACAGTTAATGGGGAGAGGACTCACTACCCTGTGAGCCTGCTTTTGGCCAGGGAGTCTGGTGCACCCCAATGTGGGGCGGGGGCTGAGAAGCCCTCTCCCTACAGGGCTCACACCACAGATGGCTGGCTCTCAAGGAGCAGCAAACCCCACAGAGACCTGACTGTTAGGACACGTGGAGTTCCAGGTGAGTATTCCGGCCCTTCCCTTTGCCCCTCCGACCACAGTGAGTGTCCTCAGCTGCTCCCCGAGGACAAAGGGCAGCATGTGACCCCTCCCCTCTGGTCTCTCCATCTAAGCCAGATTCCTGGTGGAGGCACAGGCAGGCCGAGAGCTCGGTTCCCTCCTAGCCAGGGACCTCAACGGCACAGAGTGGGCTCTTCCTGCAGCCATCCTCATCCTGGATTAAAGCAATAAGCTCCAGCAAGTCTGGGTTTAACCCTTTTATCCCAGGAACATGATTGAGGGAAATGATCTGAATACAAAGCAGCCTGACACTTTCCAGTGTACAGGATGCGGCAGGTAGAGAGGAAATACGGTGTACAGAACATATACCAACTTTCTGCCTGGCATGGCTCCGCTGTGTTATCTAGCCTCTGGTGAGCGTCCTGCTGCCATACTACGCGCAGCCTCCCGAGTGAGAGGAACAGGAAAGACAGGCCTGGGACTTTTTTTTTATCCTCACCCGAGGACATTTTTCCATTTTTTTGTTCAGATAGAGTGGGGAGGGAGAGAGAGAGAAAAACATCAACGTGAAAGGGACACATCGAGTGGCTGCCACCCGCACGACCCAACCAGGGCCGGGGACAAACTGCAACCGAGGTACATGCCCTTAGCGGGAACCGAACCCGGGTCTCTCTGGACCGCAGGCCGACGCTCTAACCGCTGAGCCCAACCGGCCAGGGCAGCCTGCGACTTTTTATTGTGACGTGTGCTCATGAGGGCGGGGGCCTTATCCTGGGCACCTTCCTCCCGGGCTGCGGGACGCTGTCAGGACAGAGCCCAGAGCAGGGTTCTGGGGCAGCCAGCCTAGCTTCTAACTCTGGACTGCCGCTCCCCAGCTGTGTCACCCTGACCGGTTTCTCAGGGGCTAAGCCTCAGTTTCCCCATCTGCTAACTATGGGCTCCCCACTTAACTAGGGCAGGGGGTCACATTGAGATCGAGTCCCTTGAAACAGGTCAGCGCAGGGCTGGGCGCTTGGTAAGAGTTCATCGGTGGTAACATTTATCATGATGACTGCTGTTATTACCAGCACCATTATTTTGCGGTTTCTCCCCGCTTCCTGAGCAAAGAGGGGGCACTCCTGAGCGGGAACTGAGCGCGCCTGCCGGAGCAGTCACCCCGGCGGTCTGGGGGGCAGCCCAGTTTGGAAGTGAAACTGCGGCTTCGGGCTGCAGAGCGCCTGGCAGTGGCTTTGCTCTGGACTTTCAGAAACCTTTGACGGGGCTCCGCAGAAACTCACATCCACAGAACCGGGCCCCAGAGGAGGGGCTGGGCAGCAGAGGGAATCAGCGGCCGGGACAAGAAACAGGAGCTTCTGTCAACAGGAGGAGAGGGCGCCCTTGGGAACGGGGCTCTTGGACACGCCTCCTTTAACGCCTGTCGGAGGGTCTGGGTGGAGTCCTACAGAGCTTCCCTCTGACGTCAACTTCTCCCTGGGGGAGTGCCAAGTGTCTCTGTCCTTGCCTTGTGAAGAAGGCTGGCCCTCTGGTGTGTGGGGACCGGTGTCCAGACACCCCACATGGGGGGGCAATGGCCTGCTCAGCTCTGGTGGCCAGGAAGGGGGGAGGGCTTCCTCTTCTGAATGTCAGCTTGACTCCCCACAAATGACTGGTCTTGGGTAAATTAGCTTTCTTGAGCCTCTTGATTCATAAGATGGGGACCCTACCGCGATGTTCGTGTGTGAGTGTGAGAGTGATAATGACATGGCGTGGGCGTCCCAGGAGGCGCCGGCTGTGTGTTAGGGTTCAGGCGTTGGCACCCTTCCTCCTCCATTCGGGTTTAGAACACTCGATGCTTCCGGAGCACAGTGAGTCTTGGAAAACACTGGTGAGTGGTCAAACTACTTTTTCTCTCTAGTTTTGGTCTGGGTGGTTTGGGGAGTTTCCCATGAGTCTGTGTCTCTAAGTCGGTGGGCAGGATGGGGACCAGGGGGATAAGCAGGGTGGGCAGGGCTCAGTCATTCTTCCTTACATTCTTGCCCTAGGGTGTCCTCAGGTGCACCTACAGCCCCGAGAATCCCAGGAGGTGCAGGAGTCTCTCTTCTCCCATGCTCACCCCCAGGTCTCATCATGACCCCCTGATCCTAGGGGCCCAGAAGATCCGGAACCTGACCGTGAGCCAGAATGACCACCAAACACTCGGCTACATGCCACATGTGCCAGGCCAGGGCCCGACACGACCCAGCACGGCCGGGAGAGGAGGTCATCCTGCGACGGAGGACGTGGATGGGGCAGGAGAAGACGGCAAATGTCTCCACTGCCCACTGCCTTACTTAAAAACTCTCCATAAATGGCCTCAGCCTCCTGCCCGCCCTGGATCCTGCCAGAATCATGCACACATGCCACCTCAGACCTTTTCCGAGCATTTCTGCAGGTCTCTTCCTGCCCCCAGGCAGCCCCGGGAGGAGACACCAGCAACAGCTGTGGCCACAAGTGGTCAGAGCGGGCATGCGGGAGCAAACACAGGAATTCCATCTCAAGTCACACATAGTGGTGGGTTCCCGGGAGAGTCTCCAAAATGCCAGGCAACATATTAATGTTAAAAGTCTCAGATTTGCTCAGAGCTGTGGGCCTGACCACCTTAGTCACAGGCCAGGCCTCTGTCTTTCTTGAGGGCTCCCTGTCTGCCCTTGGCTGTGAAGTCTACGTGCTACTTCGAGGTAAGGAGGCTGGAGCCTGAGTAATCACAACAGGGACCCAAAAACTGGGACCCCCCAAGGGTGAGCGGCTGCCTCTCTGCTCCCTGTCTCCTGTCTCAGGGATGGGGGCCCATCAGCCACCTAGGAAGTCCTTGGGGTACCTTCATCATCGCTGCACGAGGAAGACACCCCCCACTCCCCTCAGAGACCCTCTCCTCTACATTTTCCTCCAGCAGAGCAGGAAATAAGAACCCGAAACACATGCAGGATCTGGGGGCCCCAAGTTCACACACACACACAAGGTCCTGATCTGAACCAGGGTGAGCGGGGTCACAGCCTCTGGGACGAGACTGCCCCAAGGCACACACCAGCTGCGTTTGGTGCGGGGTCCGGGTGAGCAGGGCACTGACTGCTGCTGCTCCTCTGGCTCCCCATACTTTTTGCTCAAACTGGGTTAATTTGGGATCCTAAGGCAATCTGTAACCCGATGACAAGATTACTTCAAGAGAAGGAGAAGCAGAGCTGGTCCTGGCCATTTTACAGAAAGAGGGGATGGGCATCCACAGGGCTTCTAAGAAGGGAGGAGGGTGTGGGCAGGACAGCCCGGGCAGAGTGCCCGCTCCACCTTCCTCCCCTCTCCTGCTCTGAGGACTCGGTTCCACCCGCCCGTGATCAAGGCCACTGAAGGCACTGGCCCCCCTGTGCCCTCTATAACCCTCTCATCCTCTCCCCCAAATCCAAACCCCATTTCCTGAATCAGGTCACCGGTGGTGTATGAGAGAAACACGCATGTCTGGTGGAGCCTATCACCTTCCCTTATTTGACTACACCTGAGAACACCAGGCTGGGGAGGCAGAAGACCCCAGACGCTCAGCTCCAGGAGACAGCGTGAGGCAGTGCAGTGTAAGGGTCAGAGCACAGACCTCGGTGCCAAGCAGCTCTGAGTGCAAGTCCTGGCTCCGAGCCTTGATAGCAGCACGGCCCTGCGCAAGCCACTGATCCTCTCCCCAGAAACACAGGAACAGTGCGCGGGATGCAGTGAGAACATGGGCACAGCCCTCGCCCAGGACCTGGCACGAGACAACGGCTGGGCAGCAGCAGGGCTGGAGGGAAGGACTGGCCACGGGACACCCAGCCCTCCAGGACGGAGCCTTCTCTTGCTCCTCAGCACAGGGGACTTCCCTGGGGGCGAGGGAGGGAAGTCTCCTCCACATTCGACCCTTAGCATTTGGGGTCCTGGGGCATTTCTGGTGTTCCCTTGGCAGCTGACTCCCTGTGACTGCCCCCCAGCCAACAGCGATCGTCTCCAGCTGGGCACTCGTCATCCATGAGCTTCCTGTTTGAGCACGTGCAGAGCAGTAACAATCGTGGACACAATGAAGCACATGTTGGGTTAACGTGGTCAGAATGGTTGTTCGCTCGTGACACTGAAGGCACTGATGCTGAACTTGACAGTGTGAAGCGGGACCTTTCAGGCCTCAACCCTGAGGTCTGAGGGGCTCACTGCCAGAGGATGTCCTGGCTGATGTCCTGGCCCCTCAGGATGGCCATAAGGGGTACGGCCACCACCTCAGAACACCACTGCCAGGGTCCTACGTCCCTTGGGACATACACTAAGCCCAGGACCCCGATCCCATGTGGCCCTCCCGGGGTACAGAGCTGAGAGAAGCATGCCTTGTTTCCAAGGTTCCCTGGGAAGTTCAGCCGCATGGAAGTGGCCTCCATCAATCCATCCCCGCAGGAGACAGAAGGAGCCACGTTAGAGACCACTTGACACCTGCCCGGGAGGCAGGACCGAGCCAAATGAGTTGTCCCATCGAGGGGGCCTGGAGACATGGCTGACCTTTCCCCATCCTTGAACTAGGTATGTTCTCTGGCCCTTCAGCCGGGGTGTCTGCTCAGCAGGGGCCTGGCTGTAGATCACCAACAGACACCAGCGGGCACTCTGACCATCTTCTGTCCAAACCAGGGCACAGAGTTTTCCCCATGCCAGCTCTGTGACTGGACACATGCTCACAGAGTCCTAGAACTCACTGAGGCACACGTGCTCTCTCTACACACGCACCCCCACATATATCCACGTCATGCCATACACATATACCTACACACTACACATGCACACACACCACATATACCCACATCATACAATATACACACACACCTACACAGCCCCCCCCACAAACCCCCACGTATATCCTCACCATACAATACACACACCTACACATGCACACACATGCTAGTCACATCCTACACATGCACACACATATATCCACATTATGCAATACACACACACCTACACATGCACAGACACACTGACACATCCTACACATGCACACCCCATCCCACATACACATACACACTACATATATACACATCATACAATAAATATACTCACACCTACACAATCTACACATGTGCACACACACATACAAAACACACACACCTACACATCCTACATCATACAACGCACACACATGCACACGTGCACACTCCCCACATATATCCACATCATACAACGCACACACATGCACACCCCCACACATATCCACATCATACAATGCACACACATGCACACCCCCACACATATCCACATCATACAATGCACACACATGCACACCCCACACACATATCCACATCATACAATGCACACACATGCACATGTGCACCCCCCCCACATATCCACATCATACAACGCACACACACACATACACGTGCCCACACACACCCTGCCTGAACCCTCAATGCTGCAGCTGGCGGCCAGATTAAATGGCAGTCCAGAACCCCCATCTGGAGGGCCCTACACAAATGCCACCCCTCACAGGACCAGGAAGCCCCTCCCTGCCCCACACGCGAGGCTCTCCCCCTTTAAACTGGGGGCTTACTACTTATCATCCAACATGCTAGTCAGGGGCTCTGGCTCCTCCTCTCACCTCTGGACACACCTCCAGCGACCTCTGGACACAAGGCCGAGCGGCACCCAGGGGAGGAAGGGTGGCAGCAGGGGTGGCAAGAGCGGAGGCAGGGGAAACGCACCGTCTCCGCGGACTCGGACTCGAGGTGCAAGAAACGTCTGCCAAACCCCTCTCCTCTCTGGGCTCCGGGGGAAGGAGGAGGGGAGGGGGGACCCCAGTCCCTTCTGCAGTCACACTCCCCCACACTGTGACAGGGCTGGGTGGGGATGGAGGAGAGGCTGAGAAAGTGGCCGTGAAGGCGGAGAAGAGACCTCTGACAGAGGGAGGCAGCTGATTCCAAATCATGAACGAGGAGGGACAAAGGAGCCAGACAGCCCTCTCCGGCGGGCCCCTGGTCAGGGTCACTGAGCAGAAGCAGAGCCACCGGAATCTGGCAGCCCTTGTTTGTCAGCGAGACTGGGGGGGCCTGTCCACATTTCCTGGAGGGCAGGTGAGACTGAGTGGAATTTATACAGGGAGTGACCCGATGATGGAGAAGCAACACGTTAACCTCTGCATTCAGCAGAGACCATGAGACCCTCGTGACTGGTCAGCTGGGGACGTGGGGCAGCCCCCAGCTCCGGGACCTCTTAGCCTGGTGCACCAGGAATCTCAGCACAGATGTGTGCGGAGGCCACCTGTGAGCGGACAGCCGTGGGCAGGAGCTCAGGCCCACAGATGCCCTGCCCCCACCGAGTGCACCTTCCCACCCTTCCCGTCGGGCCACTGCCCGCCCGTCACCTCCTGGTGTGCCCACCTTCCCCAGACACTGGTGGAGGGCCCGGACGAACTCAGTGGGCTATCGCGGCGAGACTGGGGTGGGGGAGCCTTTACACGCCCAGCGCACCACCAGACTGGGAAAGGAGTTGGCGCGGTACATGCTTTGTGTTCATACACTTTCCCTAAGGGTTTCTACCACCATTATTCATTTTAGACTCCCAGTCCTGCGAAGTCCAGCACATGGATACTCTTCGTCCCAATTTAAAGATGAAGAGACCGAGGCCAGGGGAACGGGCTCCCAGGAAGCAAGAGCAGGTCCTTTGCGATGCTCTTTGCACCGAGCCTCGTGCCCAGTGAGTGGTTCTGCCCGAGCGGCAGGCGGGCCCCAGTCTGGGCATGGGGTGACTGGCACCCTCTACTCTGTCTCAGGGTGGACCGTCCATAGTGGCCCACTGTCCCCTGGTCTGCCACACAGGCTTGCCTGCCCTTGTGCTTTCTGGAGGTGCCCCCACCCCACGCTGGGTAAATGGAGGGACGATGGTGAAGAGGGAGGGAGAGAAAAGAGGCGCTCTGAGCTCTCACCTGTTCTGGTCTGAGTCCTGCAGGGAGATGCCCGAGTCCCAGTCCATGTCCCCAGAGGGTTGCTCTAGGAACCAGAACAGAAGCAGAGATCAGGGCAGAGCCGGCGGCTGGGCTCTCCACTGCCACTTAAAGAATGTCAAGGAGAAGGGTTTCTCCAGAAGCCATGTACCCCCCAGGGAAATCCACCCCTTTCCTCCGCCTGTGTCTCGGCTGAGAGGCGGAGGCACAGCCTGTCCGGTGGCCGTGCTGGGCCTTGCCCCGGCTAAGGGGCCCACACGGGAGGGTTCTCTAGGGAGCGGCGAGAAATGAGCTTGGGGAGGGGAGGGAAAGAAGGGGCGGAGGTGTCTCCTCGGGCCGAACACTTGCCCATCCCAGTGGTGCTACCGCCTGGTTCAGCCCACCTGACAAGATGCTCAGCCACTTTGTGGGGAGGGCTCACTGGGGGTGAGGGCATGTCACTGGAGGGAGATGCAAAGAGCCACTCTGGAAAAGGCTACATGGCACAGGAAAGAAGCTATAGTAGCCGCCACCCCCAAGCACAGAGGGTGGCCTCCCCTTGGCCTGGGGAGTCATGGGGTGCTCAGCAGATGGGGCTGGCTGTGAAGTGGCAAAGGATCTATGTCAAAGCCAAGAATAAGAGGACACCCTGATGATTCGGGTGACAGGCAGCATACTCTCTTCCCTCTCCTGCCCTACCCCTCCCCAGTACCCCCTTCTGCTGTCCCCACCACCCAGACCTGCAGAGTGAGCCTTACCTGGTATAGCTCTGTCCCCGGATGGAGTCCAGGCGGGGATTCCCACCTTGGGGTGACCTTGACCCCCAACATTGAGCATCTCCTGCAGAAGAAGGCGGTTCCTCTCCACCTGCTCAGACAAGGGCAGGGCACTGCGCCCAGTGCCCAGAGCCCCCAGATCTCCAGTTCTCCAGAGCCCCCCCAGAAGGGGTGGCCTCGGGACAAAGTCCTCCTCCGAGGTCAGAGACAAGCTGTCCAGGTCTCCTCCTGTGACTAGATCATCCTGAAGGGGGCATGACCTTCCTTTCCTCAGGTTGGGCACATGGGTGATTTTGTTACAAGGTCTGGGGCCCCCAGTTCGGCCTGGAGTGACTCTGTGGACGGGGCTCTTCTGCAAAGAGCTGGGCCCTGGCAGCAGACCCCTGTCATGGTCCGGCAGGGTCCATGCTATTTCTGGAGTCCACTGGCTCCTCCCATTATAGCACTCAAGCCCAGGAGCGGGCGGCCTTGGAGGTGTGGGGCCCCCGTTTCTGGCAGGCTCCTCCTTGTTGACACTGTTGTCCAGCAGTCCTTCATTTGGGTTCTGAGCATGGAGGACCACACCGGCATCTGGCGAGGGAGACCCTGCTGACAGAGCCCTGGCCCCTCCCATCTTGACTCGCCGGCATTTGGGTTTCTTGGGGGATGGCCGCTCATGGGTAGTGAGGCAGGGGCTTGCCCCCTCTTTGCTTGTTGTCATATTTTCCTTCAAGGCCCTGACCTTGGACTCCAGCACGGAGGGTCCTTGGAGCTGTATGCCCCGTGCCCCAGGAGGGTGGGGGATCATCAGGTTGGGTGCTCTGTCTTCTTGAGGGCACGGCCAGGGTCCTGGGAGATGTCCCTTATTGGGTTGTGGCTCTCTGCCACTTCTCTCCATAGCAGGGGTCACCTCCATGGATCTGGCTGTTCTGCTCCCCATTTTGGGCTCTCTGGAAAATAAAACAGACAGAGCTCCATAGACCCAGCACCTGGCTAGATCTGGCAACCTCCTAGGTCCCCCAAGAGCCCTGCCCAGACAAGAGTAATCCGGGAACAGAGCAGGGGATACCCTGTAGATGTGAAAGTACTTTGAAAAGTAAAAATTAGTGGATGATACAAATAAGGTATTAATGATTTTTTTCTTCTAAGTCTCAGCAGTGTTCTAGGTTTTCAGTCCCCATTTTGCAGTTGGTGCACAAGCATCAAACATCTAACCCTATGCCAAATGTGGACCAGAGTGAAAAACTAGGTCAGATCTCCCAGTCCCTGGCCTCTTGCTTTCCTGACAGGTGATCTCAGTGAAGATGGGATAGCACCCAGGATCTCAGGGTCTGATCCTAGGATGGAGGGTGCTCCATGCACACCCCCACTCCCACCCTCCAAACCACAGGACCACAGCATGGTGCTGTGCTCAAAGGGTGGCCATGATCAGTCACTAACTCCTACCAGCATCTGCTCTGTGCCAGGCAGGCCTGCAAGTGCTTTCAAACATACTCTCAAAGAGTCCACATACGAGTCAGCCAGAACAGCATTGCTCCTCTCATTATTACAGATGGCGAAACTGAGGTACAGTGAGATTACATCACATGGGTGCTAAGGAGAGGCTGGTTTGGCATGCAAAGCTTCTTGTTCCAAAGCCAGGGCTCCTCCAAAGCACCCAGGGGTCACTGCACCCCGCTCCCCTTATCCTGCAGATGAGGATAATCCATCTGGAGAGGTCCAGTGACTTGCCAGAATGACACAGCTACTTGGTGTCATGGTTTGATGTCAACGTCTTTACAGGGAATGGAAATGAGCTTGGGGATTTCATTCACCAAGTTCTGTGCACACACACAGTCTACAATGTCTTAATATTTATCCTGCTCTCTGAGAAAGTGTTCCCTCATTATCACACATCTAGATATGTCGCACTTGAAGTAAACTGTGTCTATAAAAATCCATATTGACATATATTACAATTTAGGAGTTAATTATTCACTTCATGTGTTGACTAAAGATTCACCATAGAATTAATTCTTAGAAACAGCAAGTCCCTCTCTAGTTGTTTATTACAATTCAATTTATAAACGTCTCAGGCATGTGCATATTTCTCAAGGTAAAATACACACAGCGCAAATGTCCATCAGCTTCCAAGCCGTGAAGTTTAAGGGCTTCTTGAGAAGGCCGAGATCAGTCACTCTGCCAGTTCATCTAGAATTTACCCACTTTCTCCTTGCAACCCAGCCACCAATTTCTCTCTTCCAAGGCTCAACCCGGAGAACGGGAGATTAAAATATAATGGGAGCGGCTGCAGTTCAAGTTTTAAAAAGAAAGGAAGAAAAACTTTCTGACGGTAGACTGTGGACCTGTGTTCCAGAGCTAATCCGTCTGGGGAGAACCTCCCGAGGGGGCACTGCGGGCGGCCTGGGGGGATCATGGTGCTGATGCTTGGAGCCGTCCCGTCCCGTGGCCCGAGCGCGGCATCGGCTCAGACTCAGGCTGAAATGAAGATGGGCACGGAGGGCGGCCCTCCCCCGACCCTTCCAGCCCCGCGGCCCCGCCACCCGGCCGCCCCTCCGCCGCCGGGCTCCTCGGCTCCGTACTCACTGAGGGCCGCCGCCGGCAGGTCTGGCCTCCGCCTCCTCCGTCCCCTCCATCCCCGGACCGGCGAGCCCTCCTCTGGACCGCTCTCCCTCCGAGGCCTGGGGCCGGGCTCGGCTCCCCGCCGGACAGGCGGCCCCGGCCCGGGTGCGGTCCGGCCGCGGCCTCCCTCCCGGTCGGAGGAGCGAAGCGGGTCGGGCGGGGAGAGCAGTGGCATCGGCTGCTAGCTCGTGGCTGTGCCACGAAGGGGAAAGAAGCCGAACCTGCGCCTCCCCGGGCCGGACGGGGAGCAGCGGAGGGAGCGGAGGGAGCGGAAGGGGCTGGAGCAGCGGCCCGCCCCGCCCGGCCTCGCCCTGGGCGCCCACCGCGGCCGGCGGTGCTGCCGGACGCCCAGCCCAGGGGGCCGCTTCTCCGGCGGGGCGGCGGCGGGGAGCGAGCGCCCCGCACACGTCCGAGGGCGGGAGGGCGGGCGAGGCCTGGGCCCTGCGCGGGGACGGGGCTCGGGGCGCCCGGCCCAGCTGACCCGGCGGCCCCGGGGCGCCCGCGGGCAGCGCAGCTGTGGGATGCGGCTCAGCCGGAGCGAAAGCTACGGAAACGCGCGCTGTCCCGGCGTGGCGGGAGCGCTGTAACTCTACACCCGGGCTGGGTGCGCTCCGGCTGTCGGGGAGCTAAGGAATGCCCTTTGTTTAGACAGCTTTTCCAGAGGCGTCACGGGCCCTCTCTGCCAGGCCGCCCCCATCGGCCGCGGGAGCCGAACGAGGTCGAGGTCATTCGTTTCTGCTTACAGAGGCGCGAGGGGAACCAGAGTGGAGGTGGGTTGCCTCACCCCTCCTGCCAAGGGGAGAGCCTGGTGCCAGCGTTGCCAGCCCCCTGGGGTAGGGACAGGTTCTCGGGGTTCTGGGGACCCCCGAAGGCACCCGGTCACTTTTTCCAGACCTGGGCTTCACCGGCAGCTGTGGCCCAAACCCACCAGAGCTGTCTTTCCACCCAGAGAGATGTCCAAATCTGTTTTCCCACACAGGATGGGAAACTGTTAGAACCCAGGAGATTCTGAAACTCTCTGCAAAGGGAAAGTGCTCGTTCATCTTTCCTGCAGCCAGTAAGCTTCCCTCTCAAGCATGGGCTGCTCCTCTGTTCGCACGTGCACACTGCAGTCACCATGTGGATGACAGGCAACAGTAAGGACGTACAATGAGCCAAGTGTGGGCACCGGGTGGAGGCCACGGAGCTTCCCCAGGAGGCCTGCCTCTTGAGTGAGGAGTTCCCTGCAGAAGGTGGGGCATCTGGCCAGGGCCAAAGCACCAGGCCTGAGACAGCTGTGGGGAGCTGTGGTAGAATCGCCTCGGGCGACTTTAGGAACCTGCGAGATCATCAGGGCGCACGCTCTGTCTTACAGAACAGGCCCAGTCCCCACAGCTCTCGTGAAGGCGGTCTCCAGGTGGGGCCAGTGCTCTGGCAGTTAATCCCCCCACCACACACGTTCCCAGAGCCAGTGGCTTCTCCAACAGGGCACACACACTGTTCGTTAGTACTGGCTACTTCATCAGAGAGGAACGCACCGTTTATGAGGGTGGACTGTGCACCTGTGTTGAGCTAAGCACTCTGCATTTCTTCTATGGCAACCTTCAAAGACGGCACTGTGCCCTGTCTCCTTTCTGCAGATGAGGAAACTGAGTTAGGTGATCTGCCCAAGGTCACAGAGCTAGTAAGTAGCAGGCCTTCTGGAGTCCACAGCCTCACGTGGAAAGCTTTAGTTTAAAAAAATAAAATGCTGTAATAATCAAAATATGCAGCACAGCCATGATGTCTGGCTCTTTCCTTCTAGGTCCTTTCTGCCTTCCTTAATCCTGCCATTCAAGGTAAAACCATTCCTCTCTTCCAAATGCAATGTCAAACCTAGCAACAAGAATACCATTATTATTATCAAGAACCTCCTATGAGCTCAGGTACTCTACATAGGATCTTTTAGATCTTTACAACAACCACTTTAGGAATAAATAAATTGGGGTATGGATAGATTAAGGGACTTGCTCAGGGCCACACAGCTAGCAAAGCAGAATCTGAACCAATCCTGTCTGGCTCCAAGATCTTCCGTCTTGCTTCTCTCTTCCAGAGGCATCTCCGGACTCAGGCTCTTGGAGGTAACTTCTCCGTGAGTCCTGCTCCCAGCCCTCCCCGAGAAGTTAATGATCTCTAAGGCAAGTTTCTGAAAGTTCCAGCAACGGCTTAATGTTTAAAAGAAACCTGCCCCCCAACCTTTGAGATGCAAATAATCACCTTCAGTTTACTCATTAAATTTATTTTACACTTAGGGGAATAGAGTGTCATATCAATACAGAGCCTTTAAAATACCACAAGTTTAAAAACACCAATAAGCAAATTCTCCCAATGCTATTAAAGAACCGAGACATGTGAATTTGAGGGTACTTCTCATTCATCTGCATTCTGTTTGGTTCAGCCAATATCTGTCGAGCTCCTACTGTGCGCCAGACACTGGGGAGACAACATGCAATACCACAGTGCCTGTCCCTGAAAATTTCTGGTGAAGTGGGGCATGGAAGGGGCAGGCACGTGAATTTTCTGTATAAGCTCTCCCACTGAAGGTAGCACAGGGTGTTGGACTCGGTTGGTTCCCAGGAACACATTGACGTGTGTGTTGGGTGGGAGGGGGCATCACAGAGAGCTGGGTCTCGTAGAATCCACAGGAATTAGCCAGACAGAGGCGGGGAGGTCATTTCAGACAGAGATTAGCATAACCACAGGCACTGAAGTGTGAAACTGCCTGGTTTCAGAATTACTAAGTGTATAAGTTAAACTGGGAAAGGCCAGGGAGGGCTAAGGCTGCAGAGCAGGTGGCGTGGCCTGGTTGAGGGTCTCGGGGCCAGGTGAGGGATTTACACTCCATCCTGCAAAGTGGGAATCCCTAGAAGGTGGTCTACCCTGGGCCTCAGCCCTTCAGCATGGCACGTTTCTGGGCTGGGAACTATTTTATATCCTATGCATCAGACTCTCATTTCATTACCACCTTTTGGAGAGAAATCTAGGAAGAACACAAATATATGGCAAGGAGCAATACAGAGCCCTCTTCCTCCACTTGAACAACTAGGGAGACCCACCGTCCACTCAGCCTGGTTGAAAACACAAGCCTCATCATCCCTCTCTCCCTCCCCCCCCCCAACATGCTCTGAACACAGCCAGAATAAGGAGCCCTGTGGGATGTGGAAACTGGGTTTCACCTAGAATAAAGGCATAGGTGAAGCAAAGTCCTTCAAGGTCACACTGTTAGAGCCAGGGGGGTGGAGGGGACACCGGCACCATCCCTCTGCTGTGCTGCCTGAAGGACCTTGTCGAACAGGAAACTGCATTTTCTGGTTGTCCCTGTCTTGGTCATGGGGCACGTGGTCTGAGGAACACCTGTTCTCTGCCCCAGGACCTTCACTCAGGCCTCCTGATTTCCTTTTAGCATAGGCACCTGCCTCTCCCCTGCTTAGAGCCTCCCCATGACTTCCCGAGGGCTGGTCTGGCCTGTGCCTGCGTAGAGACTCTCCGGGGACACCGGCCTCACCCATGGAGATTATGATTCCTTAGCTTGGGTAAAGCCCAGGAACCTGCTCTCTAATACACTGCCCAGGTGATTCTGAGGCTCATCAGTTTTGAGAAGCACAAGTCCTGGGGTTAAAACTCAAACACTTTTTGTAGCACATGGTCCCTCCTGCCTCAGCTCTCACCACCCCAGCCCCAGCCCTGTCCTGCAAGCCCTCCATATCACACTGCTTCCAGTCCCCTCGACTGCCGCACGGCTCGATCTCCTCGCCTCTGCCCAGGCTTTCCATCAGTCTGGGGCGCCTGCTTCACTCCTCAGGGGCTCCCCCCAACACCTTCCCCAGCCCTCCTGACCGGTCAGAGCACCTGGGCGCCCTCCTGCCAGAGCACTTATCGCGCTGAGTTGTCAACATCTGACGCTTCCTGGAGCACTTCCTGGCCCGTATCTTTGTCCCTGGCCCCTAATGTGTGGCCAACAAAAGGTATTGACTAAACAGCAGATGGTTCAATGAAAGGAAAAACATCCCTAGCAAGTTAGGATGCCTACGAGGAGAAGAGGGGCTCCGTTTGCTAAGAGGATCAGGCCATTTCCAAAGGATTTGGTTCATTCACTCAATATGGCTGGTCCTGCCCCAGGGCCTGTGAGGTCAGTCACTGGCAGGACAGCACCCGGGCTTCCGCACTGACTCCTATTTACACCTGATGCCCAGGCCTCCTTGTCCCTGCCCCTCTCCCACCTTCCCCAAGTGGTCATTGATCATAGAGAGCAGGGTGGGCCTTCGCTTCCATGCGGAGATCAGCCAGCTCTCAGAAGAAGAATGAATGGGGGCAGGGAGAAGAAAACAAGAGAGAATTTTGGAAACAGCTGGGAGAGGATGCCAGAGATACATGCATTGGACAACATGACAGCAGGGCACCTCCAGAGAGCAGCCACCTTATCTCTTTGTTATGCCTCTCTGCACACTCCCACACACACGTACACACACATGTGCAAACACATGTATGTCATGCTCTCCCATGCCACACTTACCTGAATGGACTAAGTCCCAAGAGGAACAGAAATGGGGTTCTTACCTGGCCAGGGTCAGCCTGCACCACTCCCCGAGGCTGGCAGGCAGGGAGCCCACTGGGATGGGACAGACTTCCCTGCTTGGAGGCCCACTCACCCCGTATCTACCCTGACTCTGCGAGGCATCTGGTCCCATGCCTTAGTCCAAACTGCAGATTTTCAGTTCATAATCTCAATCAGAGGGACATGACTGTGATCAGGGAAATATTTTAACACTGTCCCTCCTACTCCGCCATGCCTGCCCTGTGGAAGGCTGTCATCAACAGGACACCTGGCTTTGACCTGTCTATCAATAATCACTGTCATCTTGTTCAAGTCAATTTTCTCATCTACAAAATGAGAACAGATTCAGGGAGGAAGATGTTGGAGGATGACTAAGACCAACAGTCATGCTTGTGACAGTTTTTGATCTTCATAAAAATCAGAAAGTGCTTAGTACCATAT